CAATATTAATAAAGTGCCCTATTTTAACATTTGAACTTTAAAAATAAAGAGCACTTAGTATAATTCAGAGACCTTGGTGGGCAGTCAAAAAACAGATAAGTAAAACATCTGTACCTTCAGAAAACACACAGTTAACAGAAGGAAGTGAGGCAGGTGTATAATGAAATTGTTACCATTGTGAGATCAATATTGCTAACTGAAATTATATATATGAGAGGAAGGAGCAAGATAAAAGAGAAAAGGTCTAATAGTCTGTTGAGGTCATAAACGGTATCACTGAAGAAGGGATAACTAGAACTTAGTCCAAAAGAATGAGTAGGCATTCATTAGATAAGAGACGTGGGGATAAACAAGAAGATAAGGGTTATTCCAGGCATCATACTGTAATAGAACCAGGGCATGATGCAGTCTGGATTGTCAGGAGACAGCAGATACCTCTGCGGAGGTAAGAGTAAAGCAAGATTTAACTGTTAAGAGTCAAACAGAATTTCATTCTGAAGAGAATAAGAAGCTTACAATGGAAGAATACAGAAGAAATTTCTACTACAATGGGAGATGGAATTAAGAATACAATATACTATAGAGCCATAAAAAAGAAAATTTTACCTTTCATGACAGCATGGATGGACCTGGAGATTATTATGCTAAGTGAAATAAGCCAGTCAGAGAAAGACAAATAGCATTATAATCTCAATTATATGTGGAATCTAATGAACAAAATAAACTGACAAGCAAAATGGAAAGAGGCTCATGGATACATGGAATAGGATAACAGCTGTCAGAGGAGAAGGAATTTGGGGGACTGGATAAAAGGAAGTGAAGGGTGCCCTGGTTGGTGTAGCTCAGTGGATTGAGTGCAACCATTGAGTGGTTGCCGGTTCGATTCCCAGTCAGGGCACATGCCTGGGTTGTGGGCCAGGTCCCCAGTTGGGGGAGCATGAGAGGCAACCACACATTGATGTTTCTCTCCCTTTCTCCCTCCCATCTCCTCTCCCTAAAAATAAACAAATAAAATCTTTAAAAAAGTTTTTTTTAAAAAGGAGGTAAAGGGATTAATCAAAAAACATATACAAGGTTTATCCAGAAAAAGTCCAGCCATTGTTAATAGAACCAGAATGGTTTGCGTGACATCAATGTAACCTGGCAGCCAAGGACAGTAGACTGGAATGTGCATGTGTGAATAATGACGACTTCAGTGCACTATTCAGTGAGGATGGTAGATGCCATTGAGTGAGCATGTGTACTGTGTGGCTGTCACATTCAAAATGACTGAGCAAGTAGAACAAAGAATCTGCATCAGATTTTGTGTTAAGCTTGAACATTCCTCTACGGAAATTATTCAGATGATTCAGAAGGCATTCAGGGATGATGCAATGAGTGTGGTACAAATAAACGTGTAGCACATACCCTTCAAAGATGGTCAAGAATCTGTTGAAAGTGATCCCCATTCTCAAAGGCCTACAACAAGCAGGACACCTGAGAGTGTTGAACATGTATGAGCTGCAATCAACACAGATCAGCAACTGACAGTGTGACAGCTGGAAACTGATCTGGGGACTCCAAAATCTATGAGTACTATGTCTGAGCTTTCCAAGATTTTGATTCCAAGATCTTGGCATGAAATGTGTTGTGGCAAAATTTGTTTTGTGGTTTCTGCTAACATTGTGCTACAGTTGCTAATGACTTGAATCAAACCCCTACCAATGAGCCAGATTTCCTCAAGAAGGTCTTAATTGGAGATAAATGGTGTATCTATGGCTATGATTCAAAAATGAAGGCCCAGTCATCCCAATGGAAGTCACCTGGTTTTCCACACTAAAAGAAGGTATGGCAAAGTTGCAGCAAGAGCAAGACCATTTTAACTGTGTTTTTTGATTAGGAAGGTAATGTCCCTCATAGTACACCCTTCCAGGCCAAACAATTAATGAGTACTACCTAAATCGTCCTTACTGGTTGAGAGATGCAACATAATGAAAGCAGCCACAGCTGTGGGCAACTGGTGATTGACAGCTTCATCTTTACAACATACCCGCTCATGCATCACATCTTGTGCAGAGTTTTTTGATGCAACATCGAATTACCCAAGTAACTCAGCCCCCCTACAGCCCAGATTCAGTGCTCTGTGACTTCTAGCTTTTCCCAAAACTAAAATCACCTTTGAAAGGGAAGAGATTTCAGACCACTGAGGAGATCGGGAAAATATGACAGGGCAGCTGGTGGCAATTCCAGCAAAGGATTTTGCAGTGTTTTAAACAGTGGAAGAGAGGTGGGGAGAACTATATGAGGTTCCAAGGTGCCTACTTTGAAGGGGACTGAGGTGTCATTATCCTCTGTACAATGTTTCTTGTATCTTCTTCAATAAATGTCTCTATTTTTCATATTACATGACTGAATACTTTCTGGACAGACCTTGTATACATAACACATACACGGGGACAACAGTGCGGTGACGGTCAGAAGGAAAGCGTGTGGGGGCTGGCTGGAGGTGGGCAGTTTGGGGTAGGATGAAGACGGAAAGAGACTTAGGGTGGTGGGCGAACATTATGCAGATGATGCTTTATTGAGTTGTACACTTGAAACTTGTATGGTTTTGTGAACCAATGTCATACCAATAAATTCAATTAAAAAAAGAAAAAAGATACAATATACAGATGATGTATTATAGAATTGTACATTTGAAACCTATATACTTTTATTAACCAAGGTCACCCAATAAATTCAATTAAAAATAAAAAAATTAAAAGTTAAAAAAAATTAAAGCCTCCTTAACCTCAAAAATTATTTCTAAGACAAATTGTCTTTATTTAAACACACAAAAATAGTATTTTAAAGTCATATTTTAAGCTATCCCTCTGGTTTTACTAATGCAGGTTATAAACTCAGTATCATTATCATGTCCATTGAGAACATCCTATTTGTTTTTATTATTCTACTCTGAATTCTTCCCCATACCTCAAGTAAAAAAAAATTTAAAAAATAACTAGCCATAAAACTGATATAATATGGAATGTAGCCAGAATATCTCAAGTAGTTTCATAAATAAACAAAACAATAAACATATTTTTTATTCCTAATGTTATCACTAAAGCAACTACAGGTTGAGCATAATATCATGAAATATTACTTATGGCTTCCAAAGCTAACTTGAGGCTGCTGCTAATAATCATCTATGTCATCAGCAGTCTATCTGTCTAAGAATATGTAGTCAAAACCATAGTTGCCTACTTGTTCATGAGAATGCCATAACACCAGAAAGCCATTGTGGTTGCCTACTGGTGTTCTTTAAGGGGCTGCCAGGCATTAATATTGAGTAAGCTAGTCTAATTACCAAGGCATATTTTTGTTTTGAAAAATGAATATAACCCATGGATATACTCCCCTTCAGAGCAGGGATTATTTTTTTTTTCTTATATTTTGCAACAACCTTGCTCAAATTCCCAATGTAGCTAGCAAAAAAACTCTGTTTAAAGTAGGAGCCTTATTTAATTTAGTATACATGTTTCCTGTCTATTCTTTGTGGCAGGGCCTTTTACACAGGTCTTTTTCTTTTTGTATGTGTTACATGTTTACTGTATTAAATAAAGAGGAATACACATTTAAAAAGTAAAGATGAAACCAACACTTCCCTTTTCTAATCATCAGAAACTTTCTAGACCCCTAAGCTACAATTTTTAAAACACTTTGAAAAATCACATAAACATGCAGCAACACAAATTTTCTGAATATCAATATGCCCTCTAGACAAAAACCGTTAACTAAATCTTAAATATTTAATTAAAAAGGACTTTATTATACTTGAGTTAATTACACAAGATCCAATGAATTCAAATTAGAATTAAGCAACATTTTCTCACTTAAAAATGAAGGCTTATTCTTATTCTTAGTCAAGACATTTTAAGTCTCATGACTTAAGATATATTATTTAGATTTGATATATTATTTAGATTTTTTCTTCCATTTGTTAATACTCAAGATAGCTTTTTGGCTATTTATTAAATCTTAGTAAATTCATGAAATTAATCAGATAGTGACCAAGGAGGAAGAGATGAAAACTATACTCAATCCTGTGTTACTTAAAAATAAATAGCCCAAATTTAAATTACTCAGTTTGAGATTTTGCTATAAATAATTTCATAACTAAAGCATTTATATTGAGCATATTCCTACTATTAGTAGCCTGAAAAATAAACATAAGCAAATAGAAAACAGTTATATCAATAGCTAATTCCATTACAGAATGTAGCTAAAATTTGGGGCAACAGTCATAAAAGGCAAAGTGATATTCTAACATGAACTTCAAATTATTTTTATTCTTACTTCTCTCTTTTTGTGGCCAACCCCCATCTATATAAAGCATCACTTCACGACTGGCCTTTAATTAGGACTAACGTTCAAATAGGATAGTGATGCCAGAAGTACTGTAGAAATTTGAGATATACACAGAAGGTGCTAGTAGGAGGAAAGAGCATCCCGGGTTCCTGATACCATAGTACATGTCTAAAATTTTAAGAACGGCAACATGAAATTGAGAAGGAAGTATGCATGGGTAGTAGGTTCTTTCCCCAATCCAGCTCCCAAATACAAAAGTGTTAGAAGTAAAAGCTCACTTAACAACTCCTTGATAAGAGAATTCTTCCTAATTAATTTCATACTCAAAGGTGGTGGAAGACATAGGACAGCTAGCATGGATATATAATATAGCCTGAAATAAGCCCCGAATATGTGGATTTGCAGGGAAGCCAGAGAGACTAAAGATCCTAAGTGGGATGAAAGTGTCACCATTAGTTGACTACATTTGTTTTCATTGAAAAGTTTCATTAATGCAAACATTAAAATATTTTAATAGGATTTTACATGGTTAAATATTTTAAATATATAAAATATAATAATTGCTACTTGGAGTCTAAATTTCCCACAAATCAAGCACATTAAGAAGCAGGTTATTTTTAATCAGTTATGAGGAAGATCTCCATACTGCACAGTATTAAGCAACCTCATACCTGTACTCAGGGTCACTGTCATAGGCATAGTCTCGGCAGAAAAGACCTCTTTTCAGTTCTAGTTCTTCTTCTTTCTCTGTATCTCTCTCATCCTAAAAAAATAAAGATTATTATTAATTCATTTTATAATCATAATGACACTCAACATCTTGTTGGGAAATGTTCTCCTCCTCCCCTATTACAAGAAATTGAATGAAATGTTTGCATGTCTCAGGAAACAAAAGAGTAGGTCAGAATTTATCATTCTGTTCAATAACATTAATACAGTTTTATTGTATTTTTGTTAACACTGCTTATCAAAGACTGGACACCCAGTAGAAGTTTCCTGAATAGGCGAATGAATGGGAATGGATACTATGTATTAAGATACGAAAGAAGATGTGTAGTAGTATCTTACACATTGTTATGTGGAATCAAAATGCAAGGCTACTTTTTCTATGGGCAGATTGTTCTTCTAATAGACACATTCAAGAGCTTAAGAAATAGGATTCTAAAGCAATAGTTTTATAAACTGTATCATTCACAGTAATTATGGTTTTACTATATGGTACTTCATATAATTTAGTATCAAATATCTTTCTCACCTACTGGCCAATACCCTTATTCCTTAGTCAAACTGGATAGAAATAAAGAAATCTGGTAACAAAAGGAACCAGTCAGCACAAATAGACTACTATAAAGAATAGTGTTAATAATGAATTCACTTTATATAAAAAGCCAGCTGAAAACCGATTATGAAGAAAATAATTTTTAAAATTTGCTGATAGCATGAAATTGAGAAGAGAGCATTCAGTTAAAAAAATGTAAGCAGTAAATAGTAAAGCAAGTTAAGAGATAACAGAAAATGCAAATATATATCTAGAGTTATTAAAGCTTCTTGGTGAATTGAAACTTTTTATCACTATGAAGTAACTCCATTTATTTTTATTAATGCTTCTCCCCCTAACTTTTTTTGGTTCACCATTAATATAGCTCCAATGGCTGTCTTTTAGTTAGTGCTTGGATGGTATATATTTGTCCTTTTATTTTCAACTTTTCATTATTAGGTTATAAATATTTTTTCTTAAATAGCATGTAGCTAGATGTTACATATTTTTGTTCAGTTTGATAAATCAATAAAGTGAAGCATCTATTAATATCCCAGAAAATGTAATTGGCTGTAATAACCACAAAAACACTATAAAAAAGTGTAAGAAATAAAAAAAGTATAATGCTTTCAAATAAGAAATAGATTATGTGCAAGAAGAACTAAATGGAACAAATAATATTAAGTACAAAAATTCTATCCCTGGGAAAAGTTATTCATTTCTAAATTATATAAGTGATTACATGAATCATAAACATAATCAATATTCCTTGTTTAATTTTGTCAATACAATTGGAAAGTTAATTTTTCACATTGTAAAAAAATGTTGACTAAATTTTAAAAGTTCATATATAAAAAAATACAAAAGTACTTTTTAAAAAATCTGAGCCTAAATTATTCATTACACAAAACCCATGTTTTCAGCTGGGTACTTACTCTTCCAGACCCTGAGGAGAGAAAGATGGCTAAGACATGTACCTGCACGCACATGGAACAAGGCTAGTGTATTTTATGAAGCTCTATGGATGGGATGGACCAAAGGGTAGTATCATTAGGAGACATAGCAGAGAACAATGTAAGGAGAACTTTCTAATTAATAAAGCATCCCAGAGACAGAACAGCTGTCCTGGAGGGAGTCAGATCGCCATCACTAAAACTACTCATGAAGAGCACTGACATCCATTTAGGTTAAGGGTTTCGTGGGGGGAATTCTGCCCTAAGAAACGATAAGGACTAGATGACCTTCATAGCTATTCCTGTCTAAGTTTAAGTCTCTATTTTGTGACATTTTAGATATATAATCAACACATACATCTCTTACAAACATCTTTATATAATCTTTTTTTTAAGATTAGGATATGTAAAAGCAAATAGCAACAAACACCACATCTTATTTTAAGTTACTAACTATGGATCAAGCAAACATTTGAAGAGATGCATCATTCTCGTCAGTGCCAGAAAATCCATTCCTAGGGCACAGAGAAGTGATTCACCTCTTACTCCTCATTGACATTCCCATTTGCCCACGTGTAAATACAGAAAAAGATAGACAGCACCAATGTTTGTTAAGTACCTGCAAGGTATCTAGGTACTTTTTATATAAATATCATTTAAGCCTTCAATAACCTTATCAAAGGTTCTGAAACTCAGAAAAATAAATTAATTAAATAATAAATTAAATAACTTGCTCAAAGATACAAATTATTAAGTAGCAGAGCTGGAATTTAAGTCCAGCTCTAACTTGATATACATTATATGGCTTCCTAGAAGGCAAATAAAATGAACTACAGAATCAAAACCTCCATCCCAAGCCATTAGATCATTCCCCTATATGAAAATTAGGCCTGGTCCTGGCCGGGTAGCTCAGTTGGTTAGAGCACTGTCCCAATATGCCAAGGTTGTGGGTTCAATCCCCAGTCAAGGCATATACAAGAAACAACCAATGAATGCATAGATAAGTGAAACAACAAATCAATTCTCTTTCAAATCAATCAATAAATTAAAACATTTGGCTCAAACTCTTTCAGCTAATATCTGTTTAGTTAATTTTTATGAAGGCATTCTGAAATAATACAGTCCAGAAGAAACTATTTTTATTTCAGCAAAAGTCATTAATAAAATGAAACTGTTAAAGGAAGATGGGGCTCTCCTTCCCAATAACTGGCAGTAAGTTAAATGTTCTTGTAAGATTCCAGTTTGGGGTGAATAAAGTTTCCATAAACATCTGTGTACAGGCTTTTGTGTGAAAGTGTTTTCAATGCACTTGGGTGAGTACCTAAGAGTGGGATTGCTGGGTCATCTGCTGTGTATATTTTTCCCCACACAAAACTGCCAAACTGTCTTCAAAGGCTGTACCGCTGGGCACTCCCTCCAGCATTGAATGAGAATTTCTATTGCTCCGCATCCTTGACAGGAACTGCTACTACAGATTTTTGGAGACTTCTGTTTTTGTTTAACAATTCTAAAAGGTATGTGGTAGTATTGCATCATTGTTTTAATTTGCATTTCTGTAATGAATATTGAACATCATTATGTATGTTTATTTGGTGAAAGGTCTGTTCAGATGTTTCACCATTTTTAATTGGGTAGTTTTTGTCTTATTGTTGAGTTTGAAGTTTGGATTTTTTTATTTTTTGTTTTTTAAATTCTGGATACAAGTCCTTACTCATATATGTGATTCATAAATGTTTCATCTAGACTGAGGTTTGTCTTTCTCTCCTTTTAATAGTGTATTTCACAGAGAAAAGTTTTTAATATTAATGAAGTTCAATCTATCAATACTTTTTCTTTTATGGATCATGTGTTTGGTGTCATATCTTAAAAGTTATTTCCAAATACAAACTAAACAGATTTTCTACTATATTTTAGGTCTATGACTGATGTTGAATTATCTGTTAAGGACTTTTTTTAAAAAATCCAGAATCAGGGGCTGCAAAGGCAAAAAATGCAGTTTACATTTCATTGACTATGCACTTGTTTGAAAAAACAGTTGACACTATTTTTGTAGGTATACTTGTATTTATGGGGCATCGACTTTGTTCTTTGGACACACGTGTCCCTATTTTAGTCAGTCCCACACTGTCTTCATTGCTGTTTTACAATAAGTCTAAAATTACATAGTGGGTCCTTCAATTTTGTTGTTCTTTCTTCATACTTGTTTTGGTTTTTCAAATTATTTTGCCACTCCATATACTTTTTAGAATCAGCTCATCAATATCTATTTAAGAAGCTTAACGTAGTTTTTACACCTGCATGGAAACAAAATCAAAATGGAGAAAACCAACACCTACATATTGAGTCCTCCAATCTGTGAATGCTGTGTTCTACCTCTCCATTTAGGTCTACCTCTCTTGAGTTTTTCAAAAGTATTTTGTAACTCATAAAATGCAGATCCTAAACTTATTTTGTTAGAATTATACCTAAGCACTTCAATTTCTGGTGCTATTATTACACGTGGTATGGACTTTCTAATTTAAAATTTCAGTTGTTCATTGCTGGCATATAGGGGGAAATGACTTTTTTTGTATGTATACTGTGACCTTGCTGAACTCCCTATTAGTTTTAGGAACTCTTCTGTAGATCCTTTAGCATTTTCTTAAAAAAGTAATCATATCTTCTGCAAATATAGTTCTGCTTCTTCTTCCTTTCCAAGCTGCATGCCTTTTATTTCTTTTTCTTACCTCCCTGCATCATCTAAGACTCCTGGTATGATGTTAGAGGAATTGTGAGAAGGGGCGTCCTTGCCTTCTTGCTAAACTTAGGGGAAAAGCATTCAATCTTTCATAAGTACAATATTAGCTGTGGGTTTTTAAAGGATGCTCTCTATTAGGTTGAGAAAATTCTTTTCTAACTCAACTTTACTAAGACTATCATGAATAAAATTAGATTTTTTGGATAATTTTTCTGTGTCCATTGAAATGACACAAAGAAATACATTTTTTTCTTATTTAACCTGTTAATGGGATGAATTTACTTTGCATTTCTGGAATGAGTCTACTTGATTATGACATATTTTCATTATTATAAATTCACGAAGGATTTAGGTGAGTCTGTATTTTTATTTTTTTAAATGTGGTTGTCTGGTTTTCACATCAGGGTAAATGTTGACCTCATAAAATAACTTGGAAAGTTGTTCTTTAATTTTCAGGAATACATACAACTGATATTATATTTCCTTAAAGGTTTTGTAGAATTCATGAGAGAAGCCATCTGGGACTAGTATTTTCTTTTATGGAAGATTCTTAACTTCAAATTCAATTTCTGTAATATATATACAATCACTGAAACTATTCCTTCTTGAGTTAGTTCTGGCAGTTTATGTCTTTTTAAGTTATATCTTTCAAAATGTTTTAGATAGCTTTAACAGCAATGTCAACAAATCAGAAGACAGGATTAGCAATTTAGAGAACATTTCAAAAGAAAATATCCAAACTTGAGAAAAAAATTAAAAATATCAAAATAAGTGTAAGGTACATATGAGATGCAGCCTAAAGATATTACAGAAGTGTAAGGGGAAGTTCTGGAGGGAGAGTAAAGAGATATTGGGGCAAAAAAAATGTTTAAAGAAAGAATGGCTACTGCTTTTACTGCTTTTCCGAAACTGATAAAAGATAACCTTCAGGTTTGAGAAGCTCTAAAAACTTAACATAGAGTTAGTCCAAGAAAACCACATCTAGGTATATAATGGTAAGATTGCTAAACAAAAAGGGTGAGAAACCCCCCCAATATTTCGAAGAAATAACAGCTGATTTTTCAACGGATACAAATGAAGCCAGAAGACAATGGAATGGCTTCTTTGATATACCCAAGAAGGTAATTATCAACCTAGAATTTTATATCCCATTAACCATATTACATAAAATTAAACCAAGACATTTTCAAACAAACCAAAGCAGAACTCACAGCCAAGAAAATGACATGAAAATAAGTATCACAGGGAATTCTTCAAGCAGAAGGAAAATAATTCTAGAGTCCAGATGGGAACATGAAATTGCCAGAAAGAATAAAGAATAATAGAAAGAATAAATATGAGGTTAAAATGAATAAACATTACTATACAAATAAAATTTGTTTGTTTAATATATGTAGAATTAAAAAGGCATAACAAAAATAGACACATAAAGGATGTGGATTAGAAAGAGTTAAATGTTTTTTGGTCCCAATATGACTGGGGAGGTCAACAAAGAAATACTAAGTCAGCTAAGCATGTTGAAATCTTTAGAGCAACCAATGACAAAATAATAATAAAAAAATAACAAGTTAGTAAAAAGGAAAATGAATGGCAAAAATACATATTAATCCAAATAAAAGCCCCATCAATTGACATAAAAATTCTGAATTTTCATTTTTGCAAAAAATCTCATGTGCTTATTATGAGATATACACTTTAACTACAATGATAAACAGCAAAGGATGAAAAAAATACACTTGCATATGTTAGCCAAAAAATATTGCTATAACTATGTTAGCATCAGAAAAAATACTTGAAACAAAGAACAATGCTAGAGATAAAGAGGAGCATTGCACAATAAAAGGTTCACATCACAGTCTGAAATCTGTATCCAAAAATGAGATAGCTTCAAAATATATAAAATAAAAATCAACAGAACTAGAAAGAAAGAGATGCATCCACTATCACGAGACTTGAACATTTCTTGAATCTTGAAACCTACTTACCACTATACAGAAAAAAATAACTCCAACCAAATCACATATTTGTGAAATAAAACAAAAGGCCTTTAGAAAAAATAAAGGACAATGTCTTATAAACAAAAATTCTAAAAATGCTAATAAAAAAGAAAAATGATAAATTGGACTTACTAGAATTGAGAACTTCTTTTCACTAAAAGACATCATTAAGAGAGTGAAAATGCAATGCATAGAAAAAAAGAAAACTGCAAAACACATACCCAACTAAGAACTATCAAGAATCTATATAGAAGTCTAACAAGCCAAAAAAAGAAAGGGAGACAATTAGTACAAAAATGAGTGGGTGACTTGGACAAATGCTCACAAAAGAGGATGTCCAAATGGCCAATGACCATATTCACTAGTCATCAGAAAACAGCAAATTAAAACTATTATGTAATAAAATGCTAATCACTTATGAAAATGCCAAAAGAAAATGCACACAAGCACACACACACAACCAATCAGACAGTTGTGAGGATGTGGAACAAGCAGAACTCACACAAACTGGTGGTGGTAGTGCGAACGGTCCCGAGTGAACTGTTAGAGTCACTAGGAAGAGTCTTTGGCCACATCTACAAAACTGAGTGGACACATTCACTATGACTAAACAACACCCGGGTAACTATAAACCCAAATGGAATGCATACGGCGTTACCCAAGGACATGCATAAACCGCTAACAGCAGCTCTGTAACAGCCCAAACGAGAAACGACCTAAATGTACATCGTGAGAATAAGTGAATCAATGGCAGTATTTTCATGATGAAATACCAGAGCAGCAAGAGTGAAGAACTATTACTAAACATAACAAGATGCCTGCATTGCAAAAATGTCTGACTTGCAAAAACAAAGTGAAATAAGTTGGGTAAAAAAAAGGAGCAGACATTTTTTGTAGGATGTCATTTATATAAAGATCAAAACACACAATATTTACTTCCTTACTTCCTTACAAAACACACTTGCTATTAGAAGTCAGAATAATGTTTACCCCTGGAGTGGCTGCAGCTATGAGAAAAAAGGAGGGACTTATGCAGAGCTGAAAATGTTTTGTTTCTTGATCTGGTAGACAGTTTACATAAGGTGGTTTATTATATTTCATGGAGCTGCTACTTACGGTGAATGTATATTCTAAATGTGTGTTATACTTTGAAAACAAGTTTAATTAAAAAGCACCATGCATATAGAAATTTAAAATGGTACAAAATGATGCCAATGTCACAGAATCCAGTTATGTCACCAGGACTTAGCTTTGGGCCCAACATGACACTTGTGATAAGTAATTGTTTTTAAAGCTAATAAATGAAACAAGGAACCAAGCACAAAAGAACACACAGTAATTATGTCTCAGCTGTCCTTCACGTATACACTTTTTGTCTCATCTCAGAAAATATTCTCATATTGAGGTTCTCTAGTATTAAACCTGGTAGACCTGACCTGCTCTTTTCTTCTTTTAAATATTCAATTAACATAAAAATCAGCTGGGAGGTTTCTTCAAAATATGTATTTTCTCACTCCTCCCTCATTCTACCATTCCGAATCAAATCTATTTATAGGACATGGACTTTCTTTGTACTGGACCAAAAAACAAGAGTTCCCATATTTTGAAGGCTGTGAGAAACTTATCATAAAGTCACTATTTACTGGCTCTTTATGAGGTAACAATTACTAACTTATGTTTACAGTTTAGAGAACCCACATCCAACATTTTCCATAATAACTCAGGTTAAGCAGGAAGTTAGATACAGAAGCTGTATCTTTTCTTTCCCAATGATTAAATGTTACAAGTTTTAAGCATCTTGGGTGGTTTTCATTCCCAGTTATGAAAAGCCTTCAAGAGAAAATTTTAGAAACTAACATATAAATGTCTTTGATGAGCCTGATGTGATTTCAAGACATTTTTTACCCGGTCATGGATCTCATCACAGTTTGAAGGTGAACACCAATCAGAATGGAATCTGTAGGCAAAAAAACAAAGATGACTTGTAGCCAGAGGAAGAGAAAAAGAAATCTTTCCAAATGCCAGACACAGAAAGTCATTTTTTCTTATCCCTATGTAATAATATATAAAGATTAGAATAACATTGCTCTTCTGTCAACTGAGGATGAAAGGAAGATATAAATCAGGTACTAATTCTCAGCTGTAGTATTAAGTACTCACACTATGTTCAATATATAGTCATAATAATAAACTTCAACATGAATTTAGAAGAACATACCCATATATCTGACCACTTTAACAATTTACATACATAATTCCTTAGAGCTTTATCTCTACATAAAGATATATATTTTCATTTAAGGATAATAATTCCATATAGAATGCCTTTAAAATTAGTTCTTATTTTCCAGTAATTGAATCATATCCAAACTATGTGGAGGAAATTCCTTTCTGCATAAAAAAAGAATATAACTCACTTTATGAAATGACACAAAACATTTATAATAGATTAAAATATTATTTATAATCTAATCATGTTCTTATTCCTTCAGCATACAGGGAATAGTACACAAATACTAAGTCATTATGTTGTACATCTGAAAGTAACATAATTTTGTGTGTCAATTATACCTCAATAAACAAATAAACAAGAAAGAATACAGGAAAACATAAAAATTGAATGACCCTTTCCCAATACTACTTGAAAAAGTAAATATTGAAGAATAGGAAAAAAAATATGCCTTTTTATAGAGTCTGAGGGTTGGATTTAAAGATGTCAGAAAAGAAATACATCACACATTCCTCTTTCTTATGCCCTTTCCAAACTCAAAACCGGCATTAGTATAATTAAGCTATATAAGTAACAATGAAAATTTCTAGATCTGATTATAATGCATCTATATGAAATGCTATTGATAATTCCTTTATAAAGGAATGAGTACTAAAATACTAATAGGTTGCTTAAAACTGTCTTTTTATCTCATAGTTTGTTCTTAACAAGTTACAATTTTATATGTTTACTCAAAGTACAGACTATTAAGCAGGATAAATGAGTTACATTAGCTATTTTAAAGAATATAATCAATAATGGATGATTAACTATAATCTCCTGCATTTATGAAAGAAGGTGTTATTGCATCTCTGCAAATACACTGGCAGACTTTGCTACCTATGAAACACATCTTGAACCTGAGATCCATATGCAGCTCCAACAGGATACTGTGGTATCTTTAATGAGACCACAAGAGGATCCACTAGTCTGTGCTGTGGTATAAGAAATGATTGCCCAATGATCTTTAATTCCATTTACAAAAATAAAAACCTTAAGCATGATTTAAAAGAATATCAGTTCCTTTTTAATTAGATTGGCTAGTATTCCTTAGTATTTTAGCAATAATTCTACAGTCTACTACAAACTGTAAGTCATAATATTAATATTTATACTTTGAGGCAAAAACTGCTTCTGAACTATAACACATCAAAATTGAAACCATTTTATGGTGTGCTAACTCTATTGAAGGTATTTTTGAAATGGGCTTAAAGCAAAAAGAACTTTCACTATCAATAAAAAATTCATTTGCTTAGAGTCACTGATAAAGTTTGTAAAAGTCTGTTTAATACATATACATGATTAAGGAGTCAGCATTTTACAGCAGTCTTAGAGAAAAGTTAATTAATTTTAATGAATACTTACCCAGATAAATTCCTATAGCTGCATACTCTGTCATACTCCCTTTTTTTTCCGGGACATATAATCTACATTTACATCAGTTTAAATTGCTTATTATTCCAGTGGATTCTATAAACACCCTATAAATATACTGCTGAGGGACCTAAAAAGCCATATCAGAGATGTCTTATATTTAAAGATGTGGTACTGAGCGCGCTAAAGAAAAACATGATTTCGTTCCTAGTAATATTTCACAAAAGTATTTTATTTTCCTTTATGGACTAAATCTAGAATCTTTTTTAGAAAATACACTCAAAATAGAAGAGTTTCACTCAATGAAAGTAAAAAATTTTATCTATCCTAGAAAGTACTCCCCAAATTTTATTGTTTTAGATGAATTCAAAACTAAATTCCCATCATATTCTTATTTTAGGTGTACCTTAACCTTCTCAAGTCATAGAAAAGATAGGTAATGTTTAATATAGAATCACTCATTTTCTTCTAGCAAAGAATTTATCCACATCTACCATCCAGCATCAAAATAAATGTGTAAATGCCACTATCTACTCTGAACCATCCCTTGCACTGAATATGAAAAAAAAAAAAGAAAGAAAGAAAAAGAAAGAAACTGGCTTTAGCTATTCTCAATAAAAAAAAATAAATAAATAAAACGGAATAGAGTATCAGTGAAGGATTTATTAACCTTGAAAGGATAGGCTTCAAAAACTGGGTCGAAATCTTATACAAGGATAAAGTAATAAAAGGCTAAAACTGATATTGTACCATAATGGTAAATGATTGGAGAGTTTCATAAAATATGTGGAAAAGTAGAAAAATAAAACAATGTTTATAAAACATATACAAGGAGATACAGGCAAAAAATAATCTTAAACTACAGATACAGTAAAGAACCTAATCAACAAATCGCAAGCCCTTAATTCTAAAAGTAGGTAAAATGAGAATAATACCAACTATATATCTAAATATCTGAGTAGATATGGAATTCAAAGAAAATCCCTTGATACTGAGATGCAAGTTACCAGACTTCAGCAGAAAAAGCTCTCTTCATGAGCTGCTCTTGAACTTTCAAAACCTATAGGTGCAGAGGTTATCTATCTGTGTGCCTATCGGTCCGTCCATCCATCTATTTGAACTCAAGGATCCCCACAGGCATGATTATAATGGACTAGAAGCAACACAAATCAAACCCCCCATCTCAGGGTCAAGGTCTCTAGCCTGCCTCCATGTGTCCCTTTCAAATGCTTGTCAGGCTCATGAGAAAACAGACAAACCTGTTTGTTCAGAATAGGATGTTTTGATACCCCCTCCACACTGACACATCAGTTTTAAGATGAGCTTTTGACAGACCCTCTCCAGTTAATTTAAACTTGTTCAATGATGTCTGATGGCCCTAACATGCTATAGAAACATAGTGCATTACTTCACCTTTTTAAAACTATCGTAAAGATAGCTTTCATTTTCATGTTGTGGATGGTATTATATCTGTTAGGTATTCAAATTTCTATAAAAATTTTTAAATACTAAAGGCTGAGTGTTTTTGTTTTTTTAATTTCTGACAACAATTGTTTTCTATGTTAGACTGTGAAAGAGGCAAGAAATTTCCAGTTTGGATTCAACAACAATAAAAAAAAATAGACAAAGAGAAATTGTAGGGAAGATGGTGGCTTTACTCTAGACAGCGTTTTTCTCGGCTTCTGTGAAGAGGAGGGAAACTCGCGGATCAGTGGAGAAACAGAGCAAGTGGACTAGGTTACTGAATCACTTTTGAAAGCAGGACATCAAAAATTATTGTGATCACAGAAAAACCAGACGAGTAGGGGGAAGCTGTGAACACCAGGATACACAAAGGAGATTGCACCACTGAATCTCACAAATATTCTACAACGGAAGTTCACACCATAATTACAGGGAATCAGAACAGATCAAATTAACAAACAAGAAGAAAAAAGAAGAAACCCACAAACAATGAGAAAACAAAGAAACAACCCCCAACTGAAGGGAAACGAGGAAGCCTCAGGAAAAATGCTAAATGAAATAGAGGCAACTCAACTATCAGACAGTGAGTTCAAAACAATGATTACCAGGAAGTTCAATGAACTCACAATGAGCTTTCAGAAATTAGAGGGAAACTACATCAATCTCACCGCAAACTATATAAACATGAAAAAGGAAATAGAAACTCTCAACAAAGGTCAAGAGGAAATGAAGAATACAATTTCTGAACTGAAGAACACAGTAGAAGGAATGAAAAGCAGGATCGATGAAGCAGAAGATCGGATTAGCGAGCTGGAGGACAAAGTAGAAAACAGCATCCAGAAAGAGCAAGAAAAGGAAAAGAGGCTCAGAAAGAATGAGGTGGGATTAAGAGAAATGCAAGACAATATGAAACGTAATAATATCTGTATAATAGGGATAACAGAAGGGGAAGAAGAAGAGCAAGGGATCAAAAACCTAGTTGAACAAGTAATGAAGGAGAACTTTCCTAATTTGATGAGAGAAGAAGTCACACAAATCCGGGAAACACAGAGAGTCCCAATCAAGAGGAACCCAAAGAGGCCCACTTCAAGACACATCATAATTAAAATGACAAAATTTCAAGACAAAGAGAGAATCTTAAAGGCAGCAAGGGAGAAAAAGGAAGTAACATACAAGGGAGCCCCAATAAGGCTAACAGCCGACTTCTCAATGGAAACACTTCAAGCCAGAAGAGAATGGCAAGAAATACTCCAGGTAATGAGAACCAGAGGTCTGCAACCAAGGCTGCTATATCCAGCAAAGCTCTCGATCAAGATAGAAGGCCAAATAAGAAGCTTCTCAGACAAAAGAAGTCTAAAACAATACACCTCAATCCTAAAGGGACTGCTTTAAGGAAGGGAAGGAAGAGAGAGAGAGAGAGAGAGGAACACACAGACATAAAAGGCAAAAATAAGTACCTATCAATAATAACCTTAAATGTAAATGGATTAAATGCTCCACTCAAAAGACACAGAATAGCTGAATGGATAAGAAAAAATGACCCACATATCTGCTGTCTACAAGAGACCCACCTCAGGATAAAAGACCTACACAGGCTGAAAGTGAAGGGCTGGAAACAAATCTTCCAAGCAAATGGACAGGAAAAAAAAGCTGGGGTAGCAATACTCATATCAGACAAAACAGACTTCCAAAAAAGGTCCATAAAGAGAGACCCAGAAGGTCACTTCATAATACTCAAGGGAAGAATCCATCAAGAAGACATAAATATTGTAAATATATATGCACCCAACATAGGAGCACCAAAACACATAAAGAAAATCTTAGAGGACTTCAAGAAAGATAGGGACAGCAACACAATTATAGTAGGAGATTTTAACACCCCACTATCAAAAATGGACAGATCTTCCAAACAAAATATCAACAAAGATATTGTGGCATTGAACAATACCCTTGAGGAAATGGACTTTACTGATATATACAGAGCCCTCCATCCAAAAGAAGCTAAATATACATTCTTTCCAAATGTACACGGAACATTCTCAAAGATAGACCACATGATAGGACACAAAACAAGCCTCAACAATTTCAAGAAAATTGAAATCATACCAAGCATTTTCTCAGACCACAAGGGACTGAAGCTAGAATCCAACCCTAAGGAAAAAAAACAAAAACACTTAAAATCATGGAGATTAAATAGCATGCTATTAAACAATGAATGGGTCAAGAATGACATTAGGGAAGAAATCAAAACGTTTCTGCAAACAAATGAAAACGAACTCACAACAACCCAAAACTTATGGGACACAGCCAAGGCAGTCCTGAGAGGGAAGTTCATAGCGATACAGGCCCACCTAAAAAGGTTAGAAACATTCCAAACAAACAACCTCACCCTACGTCTACAAGAACTTGAGGAACAACAACAAAGGCAGCCCAGAGCAAGCAGAAGGAAGGAAATAACCAAGATCAGAGCAGAATTAAATGACATAGAGACTAAAAGCACAATTCTAAGGATCAATGAATCCAAGAGCTGGTTCTTTGAAAAGATAAACAACATCGACAAGCCTTTCAGCAGACTCATCAAGAAAAAAAGAGAGAAGACCCAAATAAACACAATCAGAAATGAAAGAGGAGAGATTACAACAGATACCACAGAAATACAAAGGATTGTAAGAAATTACTACAAAGAACTGTATGCCAAGAAATTTGAAAACCTAGATGAAATGGACAAATTCCTACAAAAATATACTCTTCCAAAACTCAATGAAAAAGAAGCAGAAAGCTTGAACAGACCAATAACAACAAAAGAAATTGAAGCAGTAATCAAAAAACTCCCAACACACAAAAGCCCAGGACCAGATGGTTTCACAGAATTCTACAAAGCATTTAAGGAAGAGCTAACCCCTATCCTTCACAGACTATTCCCAAAAATCCAAAAAGATGGGAGTCTCCCAAACTCTTTTTATGAGGCCAACATCATCCTAATTCCAAAACCAGATAAAGACACAACAAAGAAAGAAAACTTCAGGCCAATATCACTGATGAACATTGACGCTAAAATCCTCAACAAAATACTGGCAAACCGCATCCAACAATACATTAAAAAGATCATACACCATGACCAAGTGGGATTCATTCCAGGGATGCAAGGATGGTTCAATATTCGTAAGTCAGTAAATGTAATACATCACATAAACAAAAACAAAGACAAAAACCACATGATTATATCAATTGATGCAGAAAAAACATTTGACAAGGTACAGCACCCATTCATGATAAAAACACTCAGCAAAGTGGGAACAGAGGGAACATTCCTCAACATAATAAAGGCCATATATGAGAGACCTACAGCCAGCATCATACTCAATGGGCAAAAATTAAAATCTTTTGCACTAAGATCAGGAACAAGACAAGGCTGTCCACTTTCACCACTTCTGTTCAATATAGTACTGGAAGTTTTAGCCACAGCAATCAGACAAGAAAAAGAAATAAAAGGCATCCAAATCGGAAAGGAGGAAACAAAACTGTCACTGTTTGCAGATGACATGATAATGTACATAGAAAATCCTACAGACTCTGCCAAAAAACTGCTTGACCTAATAAATGAATTTGGCAAAACAGTGGGATACAAAGTCAATAACCAGAAATCAAAGGCATTTCTGTACACCAACAATGAAACAGCAGAAGCAGAGATCAAGGAAAAAATTCCATTTGAAATAGCAAAAAGAAAAATAAAATATCTAGGAATAAACCTAACCAAAGAGGTAAAAGACCTGTATTCAGAAAACTATATAACACTCAGGAAAGAAATCAAGGAAGACACAAACAAATGGAAACATATACGGTGTTCATGAATTGGAAGAATTAATATCATCAAAATGTCCATACTACCAAAAGCAATTTATATATTCAATGCAATTCCTATTAAAGTACCAATGGCATATTTCACAGACATAGAACAAACACTTCAAAAATTTATATGGAATTATAAACGACCCCGAATAGCTGCTGCAATTTTGAGAAAGAAGAGTAAAGTAGGAGGGATCACAATACCTGACACTAAACTATACTACAAGGCCACTGTAATCAAAACAGCCTGGTACTGACATAAAAACAGGCACATAGACCAATGGAAACGAACAGAGAGCCCAGAAATAAGCCCATCTCTATGGTCAATTAATATTTGACAAAGGAGGCAGCAACATAAAATGGAGTAAAAATAGCCTCTTCAACAAATGGTGTTGGGAGAACTGGACAGCTATATGCAAAAAAATGAAACTAGAGCACCAACTTATACCTTATATAAAAATAAATTCAAGGTGGATAAAAGACTTAAATATAAAACATGACACCATTAAAGTCCTAGAGAAGAATGTAGGTAGGAAAATCTCAGATATTTCACGCAGAAACTTTTCTACTGATATGTCCCCTAGAGCAAGGGACATAAAGGAAAGAATAAACAAATGGGACCTCATCAAAATTAAAAGCTTCTGCACAGCCAAAGAAAACAGTATCAAAATTAAAAGAGAACCAACTGTATGGGAAAACATATTTGCCAATGACACCTCAGACAAGGGTTTAATCTCCAAAATATATAAAGAACTTACAAGACTGTACTTTAAGAAGACAAGGAATCCAATTAAAAAGTGGGCAAAGGACTTGAACAGACACTTCTCCAAGGAGGACACACAGAAAATCCAAAGACATATGAAATGATGTTCAATATCGCTACCTATCAGAGAGATGCAAATTAAAACCACAATGAGATACCACTTCACATCAGACAGAATGTCCATCATAAACAAAGCAACAAACAACAAATGTTGGAGAGGTTGTGGAGAAAAGGGGACCCTAGTGCACTGCTGGTGGGACTGCAGACTGGTACAACCACTATGGAAAGCAGTATGGAACTTCCTCAGAAAACTAAAAATGGATCTGCCTTTTGACCCTGCAATTCCAGTGCTGGGACTCTATTCTAAGAATACTAAAACACCAATTCAAAAGAACCTATGTATCCCAATGTTCATTGCAGCACAATTTACAATAGCTAGATGCTGGAAGCAACCAAGATGCCCATCAGTAAATGAATGGATCAAAAAACTATGGTACATTTACACAATGGAATTCTATGCAGCAGAAAGAAAGAAGGAGCTCCTACCCTATGCAACAGCGTGGATGGAGCTGGAAAACATTATTTTACATTTAATTTATGCTAAGCGAAACAAGCCAGGCAGTGAAAGACAAATACCATATGATCTCACCTTTAACAGGAACCTAAATAACAAAACAAAGAAACAAACAAAATGTAACCAAAGACACTGAAATAGAGGACAGGCTGACAGTGACCACAGGGGGAGAGTAGAGGGAATTTAAGGGGACAGTGGGAAGGGTTCACAGGAACAAACTTAAAGGACACATGGTCATAAACTAAGGGGAGGGTGGTAATGGGAGGGAAGTGGGGAGGGGTGGGAGGGGGGACTGGATTGGGAGTAAAAAGGAGAAAACTGTATTTGAACAATGATTAAAAAAATAAATAAATAAATAAATAAATAAATAAATAAATAAATAAATAGAAAAGCAAAAAAAAAAAAAAAAGAAATTGTAGTATTTTTTTGGACTATAAGACGCACGCTTCCCACCAAATTTGGGAGGAAAATGAGTGCGTCTCATAGTCCAAATGTAGCTTACCTAGCTCGCTGTGGGGGAGTGAGGGGCGGTGGCCTATATTATTTATGTTATTAAATATTTTACCACATTTTTTGTTTCAAAATTTTTTCCCTATTTTCCTCCTCTAAAAACTCAGTGTTTCTTATGGTCTAGTGCGTCTTACGGTCCGAAAACTTTGGTACTTCTTTCGCATTCAAGTTATTACTAGTGGCTAACTTTGGTTTCAAAAGTACTTTTACAGGGAGAGCTAGAATCTTTACATGATTAACATTCTCTTGGGGAGTTGAAAGAAGGTTATTTAAGGAAATTAGGTACCTTATACCAACAGTATATACTATCATCGTCATCACCAAAAGGAAACTATAACTTATGCTATTTCTATACATAGGCCATGCCTATAATATTAAATATCTATGAATCCACTAAAAATAACTATTACATACTCTATTTTTCTCTTTTATGAACTAAAGTACTTAATTAGGGTTAAAGTCACCGTGATGAATAAACTCACTCATAATAAACTTACTTCAAGGAAACTGGGTTGAGGAAGAGTATCTAACACTATTGTAATATGCAATGCGTTCTAAACAAAAACAATTTAAGCCTCTGAAAATGTATACATTTACAAATAATCACTTCACATACATTATTGCTGCCTTCTCTTTTCTAGTGATTACTATCCAAAAAAAGTAGTCCAGAAATAAGGACTAATCATTACCTTTCCCTGAGAGAAGCTCGATTTAACACAGGGCTTGGAGAATGCTTCAGCATTGTTGAGGGTGCCGAATGGACATGTATGGTCCTCGCAGAATGCTGGGGCTTGCTACATGACCTTGGGCTCAAATACTCATCACACCTTTCCAAAGAGTCATCGAAGTCTCTCCCATGGGGTGTCCTGATAACCTGATTTAAAAATTATATATGTATACACATAATATATAGAGTAACATACAAACACACACACATTTTGTAAAAGTTGAAAAAATAAATAGTGCCACAGCTATTTTTGAAAGTAAATTTCAGAATGTAGTAATCATTATTACTGTAAGAGTAAACATTAAATGCATCTGTTCTTTCCACATGTCTAAGATTTCCATATATAGAGAGATAGAGGAATTTAAATTCACAATCCACATGAATAAGGGCACAAACAAAAGATAACTGAGAGTGAAATATGCTAAGTGTCAGATATACCCTAATGACAGTAACTGCGGGAGGAAACCCAAAGACTTTTTTTTTAAGATTTTATTTATTTATTTTTAGAGAGGGAAGGGAGGGAGAAAGAAAGAGAGAGAGAGAGAGAGAGAGAGAGAAACATCAATGTGCGGTTGCTGGGGGACCTGGCCTGCAACCCAGGCATGTGCCCTGACTGGGAATCAAACCTGTGACACTTCGGTTTGCAGCCCACGCTCAATCCACTGAGCTATGCCAGCCAGGGCGAAACCCAAAGACTTTTAATGAGCTGAATGGTTGAGGTCTCATGGAGGAGGAAAGATGGCAATTAAAACCGTAAGTAGAGAAAGAGGGAGAAAAGGCATCTGAATGTGAAAAAAGGCACAAAGACAGATAAATAATGACCAAAATTACTTGGCTATCTCCACAGGAAAATAATATGACAGAATATGATAGAGATGAAGAAGGACACATTGTAGAGAACCTTAAATGTTATAATACTATTCAACATTTATTAAGCATCTTCTATGTACTGTATAAAGTAGTGAACAAGGTAGGAGATAGCAATTACAGATAAATATAACAGGGGACCTCAAAGATGTTACAATCCAGAATGGGAGATGTGGGAAAAAAATAATGATAAAACACTAAGAAATTGCCCTGGCTGGCGTAGCTCAGTGGATTGAGCCCGGGCTGCGAACCAAAGTGTCACAGGTTTGATTCCCAGTCAGGGCACATGCCTGGGTTGCAGGGCAGGTCCCCAGCAACTGCACATTGATGTTTCTCTCTCTCTCTCTCTCTCTCCCTCCCTCCCTCCCTTCCCTCTCTAAAATAAAATAAAAAAAAACACTAAGAAATGAAATTAAAACTAAATACACATACAATAAGTAATTGTGTGATGGGAACATTGCAAAGATGCATTCTTTCCAGAGAATTAGAGTAAATATTTGTTTTGGAAAGTTTATATTTAAATGGAAGACTGGGAGATATAAAGAAGGGGTAAGTCTTTGATAAGAATCCACTTTAAACTTTCACCCTTAAGCCTTAGCTTAAAAAACATTTCCACAGCTCTTGTGAGTTTTGTACAGGTTACTAATTCACTTCCAAAACCAAATAAAATATTGTCTCTTTGGAACCAAATCTCTCAGTGGAACTCAGAAGAGTTCCATTCCTTGGATGACTCCTCAAGAGCAATGTGTAAAGTCCAAAGGCACAGGTTCAAATCGCTCCTAGTTATGTGACTCTGAACAAGTCATTTACTCTATCTAAGCTTTAGTTTCCTTATCTATAAACTAGGGAAATAACCTTATAAGTTTACCACAAATATAAATGAAATAAAATTAGTGAAAACACAAAGTAATGGGATTGGCTTATAAAAGACAGTAATATTTATATCCTCTATTAACAGCAATCTTCGTATGTCAGCATAAAATGATTTTTTTATATTTATGGAAATAGTTCTTTAAATGCCTTTTCTATGACCTCAGAAATGTAACAATTACAACATTTAAAATATTGAAAGACAGCAAGAAAAAAATCTAGTATTTTAAACCAACCTGAAATTGTGACAGGTAGAAAAGAAAATTTCATATGCTAAATTCATTGCAATTCCATAAATGTAATGTGATTTTGTAAATGACATACTTTTCAAATCTGTGATATAAAATGGCTTGGTTCTAAAAACTACAAGGAAGCTACAATGAACTCACTGCAAACTATATCAACATGAAAAAGTAAATAGAAACTATCAACAAAGACCAAGAGGAAATGAAGAAAACAATTTCTAAATTGAATAACACAGCAGAAAGAATCAAAAGCAGGCTAGATGAAACAGAGGATGAAATCAGTGAGCTGAAGGGCAAAGTAGAAAAAAACCTCCCAGAAAGAACAATAAAAGGAAAATAAAACTCAAAAAGAATAAAGAGGGGTTAAGAAAACTGTAGTACAGCATGAACCATAGTAATATCCATATTAATAGGGATACCAGAAGGAGAAGAAGAGCAAGAGACAGAAAACCTGTTTGAAAAAGTAATGATGGAAACCTTCCCTAATTTGGTAAGAGAAAAAGTCACAAAAATCCAGGAAACACAGAGTTCCAATCAAGACAAACCCAAAGAGGCCCACTTCAAGACACATCATAATTAAAATGGCAAAATTCCAAGACAAAGAGAGAATCTTAAAGGCAGCAAGGGACAAACAGAAAGTAACATACAAGGGAGCCCTGATAAGACTAGCAGCTGACTTCTCAATGCAAATGCTCCAATCCAGGAGAGAATGGCAAGGAATATTCCACCTAATGAAGAAAAAAAAAAAAAGCCTGCAACCAAGGCTGCTCTACCCTGCAAAGCTCTCATTTAAAATGGAAGGCCAAATAAGGAGCTTCCCTGACAAAAGTAACCTCAAAGAATACACCTTCTTCAAACCGGCTGTGCAAGAGATGCTAAAGGATCTGCTTCAAGAAAAGGAAGAAAAAGACTGAGAGAGAGAAGAACACAGGTACAAAGGCAGTAAACCAGCAATGAATAAGTACCCATCAATAATAATCTTAAATGTGAATGGATTAAATACTGTGATCAAAAGACATAGAATAGCTGAATGGATAAGAAATCATGACCCACATATATGCTACCTACAAGATACCCACCTCAGAACAAAAGACCTCCACAGACTGAAAATGAAGACCTAGAAACAAATATTCCAAGCAAATAGACAGGGGAAAAAAAGCTGGGGTAGCAATACTATACCAGACAAAATAGACTTCAAAACAAAGGCCATAAAAAAGGACCCAGAAGGTCACTTCATAATACCCAAGGGAACAATCCATCCAGAAGACATAAACATTGTAAATAGATGTGCACCAGACATAGGAGCACCCAAATACATAAAGAAACTCTTGGAGGATTTCAAAAAAGATGCTGACAGCAACACAATTTAGGTAAAAAATGGATATATCTTCCAAACAGAATATCAACACAGATATTGAGACACTGAACAATGTCCTAGATCAAATGGACTTAACTTTTATATATAAAGCCTTTTATCCCCAAAAAGCAAAACAGATTCTTTTCAAATGCACATGGAACATTTTCAAACGTAGACCACATGACAGGACACAAAACAAGCCTCAACAAATTCAAGAAAATTGAAATCATATCAAGCATTTTCTCTGACCACAAGGGACTGAAACTATAAACCAACCTCAAGAAAAAAACTAAAAAACACTCAAACTAATGGAGAGTGAATAGCATGCTATTAAACAATGAATGGGGTAAGAATGAGATTAAGGAAGAAATCAAAAAGTTCCTGGAAACAAGTGAAAATGAACTCACAACAATCCAAAACTTCTGGGACACAGTGAAGGCAGTCCTGAGAGGGAAGTTCATAGAGATACAGGCCTACCTAAAACAGACAGAAACATTTCAAATACACAACCTAACCCTACACCTACAAGAGCAAGAGGAACAGCAACAAAGACAGCCCAGAGCAAGTAGTAGGAAGGAAATAACCAAGATCAGAGAAGAATTAAATGACATAGAGACTAAAATCACAACAATTCTAATGATCAATGAATCCAGGAGATGGTTCTTTGAAAAGATAAACAAAATCGAAAAGCCTTTAAGCAGACTCATCAAGAAAAAAAGAGGACCTAAATAAACACAATCAAAAATGAAAGGAGAGATTACAACAAATACTACAGAATCACAAAGGATTATATTTGAAAACCAGGTGAAATGGACAAATTTCTAGAAAAATATACTCTTCCAAAACTCAATGAAGAAGAAGCAGAAAGCCTGAACAGACCAATAATAGCAAAAGAAATTGAAGCAGTAATCAAAAAAACCCCAACACACAAAAGTCCTGGACTGGACGGTTTCACAGGAGAATTCTACAAAGCATTTATGGAAGAGCTAACCTCTATCCTTCACAGATTACTCCAAAAACTCCAAGAAGATAGAAGACTCCTGAACTCTTTATGAAGCCAGCATCATCCTAATCCCAAAACCAGATAAAGACACAACAAAGAAAGAAAACTTCAGGCTAATGTCACTGATGAACATAGACACCAAAATCCTCAACAAAATATTGGCAAACAGCATCCAGCAATACATTAAAGAGATAATAGACCATGATCAAGTGGGATCAAGTGGGTTCACCCCAGGGATGCAAGGATGGTACAATATTCACAAGTCAATAAACATAATACATCACATAAACAAAACAAAAGACAAAAATCACATGATCATATCAATAGATGTGAAAAAAGCATTTGATAAGGACAACACCCATTTATGATTAAAATACTCAGCAAAGTGGGAATAGAGGGAGCATTCCTCAACATAATAAAGGCCATATATGAGAGAACTACAGCCAACATCATACTCAATGGGCAAAAACTTAAAGCTTTCCCACTAATAGCAGGAACAAGACAAGGATGCCGTTTTCATCACTGCTATTCAACATAGTACTGGAAGTCCTAGCCACAGCAATCAGACAAGAAAAAGAAGTAAAAGGCATCCAAATTGGAAAGGAGGAAGTAAAATTGTCATTGTTTGCAGATGACATGATAGTGTACACAGAAAATCCTATAGACTCCACAAAAAACTACTCTGTTTAATAAGTGAATGTGGTAAAACAGCAGGATATAAAGTCAATATTCAGAAATCAAAAGCATTTTTGTACACCAGCAAGGAAATATCAGAAACAGAAGTCATGAAAAAAATCCCATTTGATAAAGCAACAAGAAAAATAAAGTACCTAGGAATAAACCTAACCAAGAATGTAAAAGACCTGTACTCAGAAAACTACACAACGCTGAAGAAAGCAATTAAGGAAGTCACAAACAAATGGAAGCATGTACCATGCTCATGGATTAGAAAAATTAATATCATCAAAATGACCATACTACCCAAAGCAACTTACAGATTCAACACAATCCCTAATAAAGTACCAATGACATATTCCACAGATATAGAACAAATACTTCAAAAATGTATATGGGACCATAAAGGATCCCAAATAGCCACAGCAATTTTGAGAAAGATGAACAAAGTAGGAGGGATCACAATACCTGATATTGAACTGTATTACAAGGCCTCTGAAATCAAAACAGCCTGGTACTGGCATAGGAACAGACACATAGACCAATAGAACAGAATAGAGGCTCCAGAAATAAACCCAAGTGTCTATGGTCAATTAATATTTGACAAAGGAGGAAGAAGCATAAAACGGAGTAAAAATAGCCTCTTCGACAAATGGTGTTGGGAGATCTGGACAGCTACATGCAAAAAAATGAAACTCAATCACGAACTTACACTATACACAAAAATAAATTCAAGGTGGATAAAAGACTTGAATTAAATATAAGTCATGACACCATAAAAGCCCTAGAGGAAGACATAGGCAGGAAAATCTCAGACATTCCATGCAGCAATATTTTCACTGATATGTCCCCTAGAGCAAGAGACATAAAGGAAAGAATAAACAAATGGGACTTTATCAAAATAAAAAGCTTCTGCATGACTAAAGAAAACAGCAATAATTTGAAAAGAGAACCAACTATATGGGAAAACATATTTGCCAATGATACCTTGGAAAAGGGTTTGATCTCCCAAATATCTGAAGAACTCATAGGACTCTACTCCAGGAAGACAAACCACCCAATAAAAAAATGGGCAAAAGATGTGAATAGACACTGCTCCAAGGAGGACATACAGAGGGCCCAGAGACATATGAAAAGATGCACAACATCACTAGCTATCAGAGACATGCAAATTAAAACAATGAGATACCACTTCACATGGGTCAGAATAGCCATCATAACCACGTCAACAAACAACAAGTGTTGGAGAGAATGTGGAGAAAAGGGAACCCTAATGCACTGTTGGTGGGAATGCAGACTGTTGCAGCCACTGTGGAAAACAGTATGGAATTTCCCTAGAAAACTAAAAATAGAACTGCCTTTCATCCCAGCGATTCCACTGCTAGGATTATATCCTAAGAATCCAGAAACACCGATCCAAAGGAACTTATGCACCCCAATGTTCATAGCAGCACAATTTACAATAGCCAAGTGATGGAAGCAACCTAAGAGCCCATCAGTAAATGAGTGGATCAAAAAACTATGGTACATTTACACAATGGAATACTATGCAACAGAGAAAAAGAAGGAGCTCCTACCCTTTGAGACAACACGGGTGGAACTGAAGAGTACTATGTTAAGTGAAATAAGCCAGGCAGTGAGGGACAAATACCATATGATTTCACCTTTAAGTGTAACCTAATCAATAACAAACAAGCAAGCAAAACATAACCAGATACATTGAAATTAAAAACAATCTGACAGTAACCAAAGGGGAGGTGGGATGGGATAAGAGGGGGACGGGGGGAATGGGGGATTGGGGGAAAGGATACATGGACAAAACCAAGGTGGGGGGTGGAATCTGGGGAGGGAGGGAGGAATGGCTGGGGTGGGAGAAGAGTGGTGGGGGGTAAATGCAGACAACTCTACTTAAACAACAATAAAATAATTTTTAAAAATGGTTTGGCTCTACCATACTTATAAAATAAGATTCTTGAGAAGTTACTTATGTAATAAGTTAATAAGTTAAATCATATTAATGGCCATATAATTTTTATAATTACAGGAACTCCAAGGTCAAGTTATTGAAAGAAAGAATTAGCTACTAAATATAACTCAAGTTATTGAAAGAAAGAATTAACTACTAATTATAATGGGAACCAGGGAATTCACTTACACAACAAATATTTGTTGAAATTGTACTTATTGCCTGTTACTACATGCTCTAAAATTTCTCTTTTGTAATGGGCCATAAAATTTAAGAAATAAATACAAATAGTTCTAATGGAAATAGTGGGAAGCCATTGAGAATAAGGACTATAAGAAAGAAACACAGTAGAGCCACTACTTCCAGGATGGTAAGAAGAAAGTATGGTTCTGATTCAAAGGAAAGAAAAACAAGTCTGATAACTTAGACTGCTTTCTCAAATTTGCCAGAACAGTCTTTAGTGAATCCTACTGTAAGTTAATGATTGATTCTATCTTATACAATTTAAAAACATATGCTAAACCATGTGTTTTGCTTTAAAGGAAATGTCCTTTCTTTGTACTGGAGAAGAATTTATAGAATTCTAAAATAATGCAATAAAAATAAGTAATTCCTAAATATATGAACCCTTAGATTGAGGTGTGGAAAACCCTCCCTTCTTAGACCCCTGTTCTTATACACTTCCATGAATAACTTTAACCCACACAACAATATTATGAGGTATTTTCATTATTTATACCAGGGGTGTTAAACTCATTTTCACCAGGGGCCACATCAGCCTCACAATTACTTTCAAAGTGCCAAATGTAACTTTAGGACTGTATAAATGTCACTACTCCTTAACAGTTAAGCGAGAGGTTGGCGCTGATGCCAGGTAGAAACAAGGTACTTGGCCAGATAAAACAAGTGGAGGGCTGGATTCTGCCCACAGGCCTTGTGTTTGCCACCTATGATCTACACTTCACAGGGAAGAAAACTGAAGCAAAGTTAAAAAGCTATTAAGTGGTGAGGGTCCCAGGCCAGTGACAGAGGAGAGGTCCATGACAGAAACAAGTGGAAAATTCCTATAGCTCAGGCCTCACTGGATGCCTATATGGAAAGTACCACAGAAGATGGGCTTACTACCCAACTTACTGACAACCCAAAACACAGAGTTAAGAGACAAACTGACTCCCAAGAAAGAAAAATAAATATTCCTCACTTAATTTTATGATGCGATCATAACAGTTCTACCAAACCCTTCAAGAAAAGTAGAAGAATTCACAAACTATCCTCACTAGTGGCATATATGGACAAAATCTTATACAAAATATTAAAATTTAAATTTAATAATGTTAAGAATATAACATAACCAATTTGGGTTTATCCAAAGATACAAGAATGGGGTACCATTAGAAAGTCTATTCAATTAACTACAAAAAAAAAATCAGTCAACTCAAAAGATACCAAAAAAACACATTTGATAATATTCAACATCCACTCATAATTTAAAAATAGATATTCTTTGCAAATAAGGAATTTCAAAGGGAACATCCTTAACTTGCTAAAGAATACTGAACAAAAATCTACTGCAAAAATCATTCGTAGGTGTGAAGCCCTGGACATGACCTCGTCAAAGACAGGACTGAGACCAGAATGCACATTTCATTAGTCTAGGCTGTAACATACTAGGCTACACTGCAGTAGCAAATTAAGTTTGAAAATCAGGGCTTAACATAATAAATGTTCATCATTCCCTGTGCTTTATGGGAATGCAGGTTAGCAAGAGAAAATTCACATTTCACAAAACTGCCCAAGGGACACGCTGAAAAACTTACAGCTGCACCATCTAGAACACAAGGTCTCACTGTCACTGTAACAGGAAAGAATTCAAATCAGTTCTTCTGTGCTCCATCCTGGAAGCGATCCACACACATACCTTCCACTCACAGCCTACTGGCTAGACCTAGGCCCCCACATACCGGCAAGAGGCTTGAAAACATGACAGGGCATAAAGAGCCAATAAGCAATGAGTGTCTGTGCCACATCCACTATGACCACTTTTATTTAACACTGTATTGAAGATCTTAGTAAGTTAAGACAAAGAAATAATTTGAAAGACAGTATGAAAATTCATTATTTGTAGATGATATGGTTTCCTCTATTAAAGTATCAGTATCTATGACAAGAATGTTACATGCAAATCAATTTCAAACCCACACATCAGTAAAACACAAGAAATGTAATTTTACATAAAACACTATTTGCAATAGGAAACAAAGCTGTGAGGTTTCTAGGAGTAAATCTAACAATGCGTAACCTTAATGGGAAAACTCATGTAGCTTTAGTGAAACAGGAGAACTGAGACCCACTGCGCTCACATGGCTAGACTACTGACAAGGAACCAAGGTCCACCTACCTTAACTTGTCTTTACCATGAATCACAGGAAATCCTTTCCCAAGGAAAAATGTTACAAACCAGTAAATAACCTCACTATTTGCATCAGGACCTTCCCATAAAACATCTACCTGAACAACAGTTGGCTCGATCATCAATCAGCTCCCTTCTTGAAATGAGAGATTTTCAAATGGGACAAACAATTCCTTTCTCAGGACAACAGATCAACTAGACAAATCCTTTCCTTACCAAATAACTGCTTATTTACCCAGACTTGTGTCCACTAATCCTAAACTTTTGTATCACAAACTTTATTATAAGGATGCCCTGTGAATGAATGCCTGAAGTCTATAAATAGTACTGTGCAAGGTACTACTAAAAGTGACAACCAATTTCACTGTCTCTCTCTCATACATATATCCCTACAAACACATTTAAAAAGTAACTAAACCAACTGAACAATCAAAAGCCACAAAATACTTGTAGGAAGACATGCACTGAAAAGTCTATGCTAACACTTGACAATGTAACCAAAACAATGATATTTATGATATGACAATTATTGTTGGTATATTTTTTACTATGATAATCACCAACTTATGTTTTATCTGAAAGCAAGGATAATTATTATTCTATAATTTACACTACATACCTTATAATCCTTGGGTCTGTAGCTGCCAAGATGAGAATGATCTGAAAAAGGATATACAAAAGAAACTATAAATATTTCATGTAAAAATTGGTTTCATGTTTGCTTTTTGCTGCTACTATCACTCTGTTTCTATGATTTTAATGCATATAGCAGATTTCAGAAATATCTTAAAACCCTTCAATGTTACATAAGCAAAGATGGTAAGCAACAAATTAAAACCTGTATTAGTTCTTCAATAATTAAATGATTTCATAAATACTAATTTCATTAGAGTAGAAAATATTTGAATATAGACCAGAATAATTTTTAGTTGATTAACCCATCTGTCTACATAAATGGTTATGAAATTGATATGGATAAAATGGATAGTTTTTAGTTGATAGGTCAGTTTATGATGACTTATAATCTGAATATATAGATTTAATAGATATTGTCAAATGTCCTAGGAGACAGTGTTGGAATCAGTCTGTACCACGAAAACAGGGCCGGTTTTAGAGGCAGTGGCATCCTTCCGTGTACAGGCTGAGTTGACAACTAGACCTACACTGCAGTCCAGCCCCCGGCACTTTCTGTACAATTCTGGCCAAATTGCGCTCTCTGAGGCTCATATTCCTCATCTGGCTAATGTGCCTCATTCATAATCTGTTTTAAAGATCACATTCAACAGCACATGCAAGGTAATAAAATAAATGTTAACTCTTATTACTAACACCATCATCAACATCATTACTATCGAATTCTAAGTCATACAAGCTTGGGTTCAACTTCTAATTCTACCACTTATCAAATATGTCACTTTGGTCAAGTTATATAATTAATCTGTTTCATTCCTCTTTTTTAAAAGTATGAAGGCAACGCTTACTTTATTTCAGAGTGTCATAGTGATGATTAAATTATACAGCTTATCAAAGTCCTAAGCACAGTATCTGTAACAAAGTGGACTAGAAAACTACTCTAAATCTCTGCCTAAAATAAATACCACTATATTCTAGATGCAGATTTTGGGTTTTACTCATTATTTAAGAAACTTTCAAGAATCAACTTGGAAGTATTATAATCTCTGTTACATGGATAGTCATGCAAATTAGAGCCATAATTCACAATTCTACTTCCTTTCTCATATATTCCCATCAAAAGTATTCTGTATTTTACCTTCTAAACTGCTGTGTCCAGAAAAAAATGGCTATATAAATAGAGACCTAGGATAGTCTGTATTCAGTCAATTAATTAGCTTTCATTAATGGCACAAAATGTTGTTTGTTTTCCAAGTGCCCTGAACAACGATAAAGAATTGCTGAAACGTTAATGTCTCTCACACAAGGAAATTTTCAACATTTAATTCAGAAGGATTCAACTTACTTCAAGCACTTTTCAAAATTATAAAATAAATCACAGTCCAAGCCCTCTCCTGTAAAGTCTAATGCACAGCATGGCCACATATAGCAGAAGAAATAAAAGAATAATAGGGATACTGAGCCTAATTCTCCAAACATGCTATTTGAAAATTAAAGTAATAATTTCTGGATGTGGTATCTATTACTTCTGGCCACTAATCTAATATTAAAAATATCCATATATTAAAATACTTGTATCTGTTCTGCATTCCACAAGCCATTTATAAACTTACCCTAATTCAGACAAATTTATAATTTTTGTTCATTTTTACAAATTAACCTGTTACTTTGATTTGAGGTTTTTCAATGTTCACATTTAATCACCCTTACCAATAATTACTACTATATTCTAAATGCTGGAGATAAAGGACCTAAGACTCATGGCCCATGGCTGCGAAGTGCTTATAAATTACATTGGTTAATTGTACAAAATTGAGTAACAGCAGCATAAAAGATGAGACTAAGTCAGAATGATACAGACAATTAATACTATTAAAAAAGTCATATTAAGACCAAACTCTCAAGGTTGAAGGAAATCAGAAAAACTTCCTAAAGGAAGAAAGAGTTGAGTTGGGCCTTAATGAATGTGTCACATTTGAGAAAAGTATGAAAGAACTAATTCAGATTGTGTGTGATATTGATTAAATTTACTTCTTTAAATCTCAGGTTTCTTTAGAATAAATGACAGTATCTAAAATTCTTGGAGTTACTATGAGTAATTAACCAATGAAATATAAATACTTAGAATAGCAACTAGCAGAAAACACATTCAAGAAATGTTAGTGATTATGTGACTCTCTAATAACTCCATGAAATGGGTATGATGAACTGAGTATATTTGTCCTCTCGAAATTCAAATGTTAAAGCTCTAATCCTCAAAGCCATGGGAGGTAATTAGGGTTAGATGAGGTCATGAAGATGGGGCTCTCATGATGGAAAAAATGACCTTAGAAAACGAAACATCAAAGACCTTGCTCTCATGCACATGTTCATGTTCAAATTCTCTCTCCCTCCCTCCATCCCTCCCTCTCTCTAACAATTTCTTTCTCCATTCACACATGAAGAAGTGGTTATGTGAGCTTACAATGAGATGGCAGCTGCCTGTGAGCTGAAAGAGATCTCAGAATGAAACCTACCTTGCTGGTACTGGAGGCTTGGACTTTCCAGCCTCCAGAACTGTGATAAAATAAATGTCCATTTTTTTAAGCCCCCAGTTTATGGCATTTTGTTATGGTGGGCTACACAGACTAATACAATACATAGGACTGTTATTTCTACTCTACATTTCAGGAGGCTGACTTCCTTCACAGCTAACAAGTAATGGAACTGAGGTCTTTGATTAGTTCAGTGCTACTTCCACTAATATGAGAATGGTAGATTTCCTTACCATAAAACAAAAGCACACAGAATAAAAATTACTTTGTCTCAAAAATGACATTACATAATAGATTTTTTAAACAAATGGGTATGATATATAATCAATCAAATACGAAGTAGTGACTAATAGTACAGGTTAAAAACAAAAAGTGGCAACCAGTCATTAAAACATTTCCTTAGCAACTATCTAATGTAGAAATTAAAATCCATTTTAGTTTAATAACTTAGAGTCTCTGCATTCTTCCTCTCTCCATAGCTGGCTTTCACCCAACAGGTTTAGATATGACTCGGTCCTAAAGGATCAATCCTGACTTTAAGCAAGAAGCACTTAAAACTTTAATCTAATATTCAGCAGCTCTGTATCAATTCATTGTTTCTATCAAAGTAATTCTTGAGCCCCATAATTATAATTATTACTGCTACATGTTCCCCACAAGTCAATCCTGATCTTGGAAACCTCCATTGTACCCTAGTAAGAAGGGTACTATTATTGTCTTTCTTTTTCATAATTTCAAGGAATTACATCTCATTCTGGTATATAGACCTACTACTGCAAAACACCTAAATGCTGAATGTATATACCTATATGAGCCTTCAAAGAGCAGGGCCTTGCTGTCCTTTATCAGCACTTACCCTACGGCTATCCCAATGCCCAGGTAACATTCTAAGGCTGGCCGGCTCTGCTCTCCTGTGAATCCCATGGAGAGTAGGACCAGTGCATTTCCCCTATTTCAGTCCCTATAACTAGCAACAAAGCTCAGACATGTGTAAAATAAAACTAGGGTTTAATATCTCTCAGGGGATCAGTCTTCTAAAAAGTAAAGGCACATAATAAAATGTTTTCTATCTCCTGATCACTTGTGATATATTCACTTGAAACTAGTTATTCTGACCTCTAATATTTTTATCTTTTCTATCTACGGCTGTCAAAGTCTCAGTAACGAAAGTCTCAGACTTTCCTCCTCATTTTTTTCTGGTCTGAAGTTTAGGAAACAGCAAGTTCCCCACTTACCAATTACTAGAAGAGTGATGATCATCAAAAAAGACATTTAAATGACTAATAAGCACATAAAAACACCCAATGCCACTAGTCAAATGCAAATGAAAACTGCAGTGAGATAGGACTGCATACCCACTGGAATAGTAATAAAAATGGCAGTAACAGTGTTGACAAGGATGTGAAAGAACTAGAAACTTCATATACTGCTGCTGGGAGTGTATATGGAGCAGCCACACTGGAAAACAGTTGGCAACTGCTTAAAAAGTAAACATAAATTTACCATATGAACCAGCAATTCCATTCTTAGGTGTCTGTCCCACAGAAAAGGAAACATATGTCTGTGTAAAGACTTCAATGCAAATGTTCACAGGAACATTATTCCTAAAAGCCAAAAAGTAGAAACAGTCCAGGTACTTAGGTGGGAATGCAGATTTACTGCAAATGGGTATACGGAAACTCTTCTGAATGAGGGAAATATCTAAAAATGGATTGTGGAAATTTATTAAAAATCATTTAATTGGCCTTGGCTGATGTGACTCAGTGTAATAAGTACCAGCCTATGAACCCAAAGGGTCACTGGTTTGATTCCCAGTCAGGGCACATGCCTGGGTTGCTGACCAAGTCCCCAGTAGGGGGCATGTAAGAGGCAACCACACACTGAAGTTTCTCTCCCTCTCTTTCTCCCACCCTTCCTCTCTGTCTAAAAATAAATAAATAAAATATTCAAAAAAATCTTTTAATTGTACACTTAAAACAGGTAAACTTTATGGTAGACAAATTTTACCTTAATAAAACTATTTAAATGTTTAGTAAAAAATAAAGAAAGAATTAAGCTGTCTATTGCTAAATGGAGGAAGGACATATTTAAATAAAAACTGAAATAAATGAGATATTTTGCCAATAAATATTTATATAATGATTACATGCTATTTTATTCAGAAAACAATAAATTTTACCATGTATTTCTATCTACTCAAGATATGACATATTAGGATTTGAGCATTATTTCCAATTTACCAGGTAGGGCAAAAGTAGGTTTATAATTGTTTTGTGGAAAATAATATAATAATTAATAAATAATATAAGAATAAACTCTATTTCATGTACTCACAACCATAAACCTAGTTTTGCACCACCCTGTATTTTACTTTACAAATAACCACCAAACAAAGGAATTAGTAGAAGCTCATAATAGATTATAATCTTATGTAGAAATGAAACTCATAAAAGAATCTTCAAATGAGAATAAGACAAGTTTCCTCCAAGGGGAGACAGAGTCTAACACCTCTCCTAAATTCTAAGCAAATAAAAGAGGCTGGGATGACACCCTTGCTTTCTGCTTCAAAATATACAAATGACTGGGTAAAGCTTCCAAACATAACTGGGGTACAAGACATACTGAGTTTCTTCAAAAAGACTGCACAAATTACAATTAGAATTACATACCACGGAAATTCCAGGTAGAGAAAATGTGCTTGAAAAATTTATCTAAATAGAATACAGCTGGATGAATGTGGCGAAAGTAGCAGGAGGGAGAAAAAGAACTTGGGGTTGGAAGACTTGCATCCTAGACTGAACATGGCTCTCTAAGTCTCTGTCATTTTTCTAAATTGGAAATAGTTAAATTTGGCCCTGGTTGGTGTAGCTCAGTGGATTGAGCTCAGGCTGTGAACCAAAGTGTCACAGGTTCGATTCCCAATCAGGGTACATGCCTGGGTTGCAGGCCATGACCCCCAGCAACCGCACATTGATGTTTCTCTCTCTCTCTCTCTTTCGCCCTCCCTTCCCTCTCTAAAAATAAATAAATAAAATCTTAAAAAAAATAGTTAAATTCATCTTCATATGATTATCTCAAAGACTAAAATAATCAATGGTGATAAAAATGATATCCCATAAAAATTTAACAGTAGGCATAAGGTAGAGGGTTCGATCCCCAGTCAGGGCACATACAAGAATCAACCAATGAATGCATAAATAAGTGGAGAAACAAACTGATGCTTCTCTCTCTCTCTCCCCACTTCCTCTCTAAAAATCATTAAATAAAAAATATATTTTAAAAAAAGATTAGGCAAGATAATTTGTCAAGAAAGTATTCAAGAAGAATTTATATTAAAGTAAGATAGTCACAAGTGAAAATTCACTGCTTTAGAGACTTTATCATAAGAAATCCTCACATGCATTCAAATAGCTTATAAAAACCCAATCATAACTGCTCAGCTGCCACCCAGGAAAAAAATATGAGTCAAAGAATAGAGGCAGCAAAATTAAAGAAATGAGAAAGAAAGCTTTTTATAGTGTAAGAAGGTACAGCCAGGGAGCCCCTAAAACAAGGATTTGTAATGGGGTCCAGAACTCAGGATGTCTAGGAAATATAAAAAATATGGGATGTCCCCACCCCCACAAGTCTGAACTGGGGGAGGAGACATGGAGCAGGGCCATTGAGAGTTGTTTTACATAGCAACAGTTTTTCAGATAACATCTAGAATGGTCATTTAACATATCTATAAGCTTTAACTGGTTTCATAGATATGTTAAATAGCTGTGGTCATGCTTTGAGCCAGGGAGATGGGAGTGACTTCCACCCAGGATGTAACTGGGAGGCAACTCCCCCTGGTTACAGAGCCTGCATAAGAGCTTTGTGATGATTGGCTCCACACTACAGGGCCACACCTGCCCAGACTTACTATGGCAACCCAGTAAAATTGGAAAAATATGGGAATGCTGGCAAGTGTAGCCGATTGTAAGAGGAGTCAGAAATGGGGCTGCAGAGGAAGATTGCAGCTGGGATTTAAACCCAGGCATGGCAGCCATGACAGAATTGCCACACAGCTTTGGCAGAGAAGAACCATGTGGCTTTGGGTCTCCCTTTGCCATGCAGCTTAGGGAGCCAGATAGCAAGATGTAGCAGCGATGCAGAGCTCTCTCTTAGCAGTCTGGAAGAATGCAGGAGAGACTCTGCAGAAAGGAAAAGGGTGAAAGGACTCTTGCTGGTGGGCCATGAGAAGGTTCCATGTGGTTTTGGATTAAGAATTGGAGATCCTGGTGAGGCAGCTGATGGTGCTAGGAACTGAGGAAGGCCTGCCAGCCGAGCACAGAATACTGGGAAGAACCAGGAGCTACCAGAGCCACAGACATCTATTTCTTTTCCTGAGATATGGTACCCTGGACCAGACAAAGGAGGAGAGGAAGGACTGTGTCTGTGGGTGTTTTAAGGGACTTTGAAATTTTAATGAAGACTCTTAAGTCTGTATAACTTAAATAAATAATTCATTTCCTTTTTACCAATCTCTGACATGGAGAGCTATTGTTCCCTGGCTGCAGGCAAGATGAACCTAGTAGAGAGCAACCCCAGGAGAAGGGGGGGGTCCATTCAGTAACATTGTGTGACCCCTTCTCTGGTGGCCAATCAAGGAAAATCATGGGAGACCACATGCACAGTAGCTTTAAAGTAATACAACTACTTGTACATGCGCAACAAAAGCCTGCCAAAACTAGCCAGGAAGGATCCACCCTATAAGAATAGAGTCCCTCCAGCCCATGAGGTCAATCTCTGCTTGAAGTTGGCCTGTTCCCATGTTCTCTGCTATAAACTCTGTCTGTTCGGTTCAATTCTTTGTCCCGATCACCAAGAACCTGGTTACCTGTGCCCACCTGTGACAATAGCAGAAAGGCAGGTAATAAATGTAGAACGAATAATGAAATATTTTAAAATCATTGTTTAGCAAACATCATAGAAATAAATTGTTTCAGGCAAAAATCATCAGTGTGTGCTAATAGGGTCAAACTTGAAGAGTCACAGGATATTATCACACAGTCTCAAGGTGTCTCCCCATAATTAAAAAGAAATGAAATAGCACTTTTATAATGGAGAAACCAAGCATAAACCATCTTGATCAAATGAGCAAATTAATATCACCAGTAACAAAGGGACATCACATACCTCCTGACAGGACGCACCAAGAGTAACACATCACTTCTGCTGTATTCCGAAGAAAAACAAATAATCTAAATCTAATTCATGAGATTAAAATCAAACAATCCCAAATTGAGAGACATGCTACAAAATTACTGGCCTGTATTCTTCAAAATTACCAATGTCAAATACAGTGTCAATGTCAAATACAAAGAAAGTCAAAGAAACTGGTCCATGTTAAAGGAAACTAGAGACATGGCAACTGAAGGCTATGCATGATGTGGGATTTCTCTTGCTATAAAGACATTATTGGGACAAGCAGCAAAATCTGGTTTAGATTTACAGGTCAGTTATTGTTCTTATACCACTGTTAATTTCCTTCTCTGATAATTGCATCACAGATTATATCTTTTTGGTCTCCTTGGACTGCCATTACAAAATACCATATACTGGGTGGCTTAAACAACAGACTTTTATTTCTCATAGTTCTGGAGGATGGCAGTCTGAGATACAGGTGCCACTATAGTCAGGTTCTTGTTCTGGCTTGAGAGGCCACCTTATAGCTGTGCCTTCATATGGCAGAGAGGGAAAGCAAGGTCCCTGGTGCCTCTTCTTACCAGGGGGCCCCACCCTCATAACATCATCTAAACCTAATTAATTCCCCAAGGCCTCACCTCCAAACACAATGCAAATGGGGTTATAGCTTCAACATATGAGTTTTGGAGGAACACAATTCATTCCAGAGCAATATCCTTGTCAAAAATGTTTATACACAGGCACACACACACAAATGAAAGCAGGAGAGGAAAGAGATAAAGAGAGGGAGAAAGAACAGCAAATACTAGCATGTGTGGATTCTGAAAGGTACATGAGAATTCTTTGTACTCCCTCAACTTTTATGTAAGTCTGAAATTCAGCAAATATGTAACTGTCAAGAAAAATCAGAAAATTAAGTGCATTCCAAAAGCATCTTCCAAATAACATCAATATTGAAGTTGTTTCTGATTTTTTTGTTCTTAAAGCTTATTTTCCATGTCTGTAATTTTTTTCTAAGGAGAGAAACAGTATTACATCTGTTCCTAATTTCATTTAATCTGACATTCTAGGTATAAAAGATATTCATTGCCACATCCATCTCCCTGTTAGTGCTAAAAAGTAAAGAAAAATAAATGAGCCCAAACTCTGAATGTTCTTTGAGATCTTGTTTCATTTCCCCACTTAATAAAAAGAGATTATACACTACAGTTCAGAGAGAGAAAGGGACAATGCTCATGACATGTCAAGATTATATTTTTTCACTCTATCTCATTTTTCTCTCTATTTGCCTTTGTCAGTGCATATAGTAAACTAACTTAAGGGCTGTTGGTGAACTGACTAGTCGATGCCTTTAGATATTAACAAATATCCCTAATTATATAATACCACTTAACCTTCATAAAAATCATCTTCATACTGAATTTCAGAAAATACTTATCTAACCATTAGGACCAGGACTAAAGTTTAAAGATATATTCTTATGAACTAAACCTGAAGGATGTTATCTTTTCAGAAAAAAAATGAAGTATTTATATATTACAATGACAACTGATATTTGTAAGTCCAGTGTGCTAGGCAGTTCATAGGGTAACATAAACCATATAATCTTCATTCTTTGATAAATAAACTGATTATCAAAGTAGTTAAGGATTTATCCAAGAATGCCCACTTTGTAAATCAGTGACAGAACAAATATTCTAATATATGTGTAAATGTCTATCCAAAATCTACAATATGAACTCTTTTTACTGAAGTATTCCCCAACGTCTGTTCTACCAACTAATGTATGTTAAGATGAGGAAAGGGTTTCAGAGTTAAATAAATGTAGAAACTGTTGAGCAAAACAAAATCAAGTTTGTTTTTTTTTACTAGAAAGGAATACACATTTTGTATCTCAAGGAGGAAGATGGTTTATAGCAGCATAGAAATTCTATTGTTTTTACAGAGGACCTATATAGGTGTCCCACAAGTTATAAAAAGTAGCACTATATCATACTATCCAATAATGCAGCAAAAATTCTGTTTTTGTTAATAGATGCCAAGTTAAAGGCTTGACAGTAGCCACAGCAATAAAGCAATAGAGGAGAGAACTTGTAGCTTACCATTGTGCATCCTCGACCATCCATCTCTTTCACAGTCTCTGCCAGAAGACCCATAAAAATGATCAGCCCTGGGACTTGGAGGATCGACCTAGAAAAGAGGAATTCAATGTAAAAAAACAGCGTAAATCTCCTTTCAGTCCTATGGCACCAGAAAACCAGCTGCATGTATCTTCAGGTTACCATGACAGTGACCATAGGGTTCAGGTGTGTTTCAAAGCCAGAGCACAGAGGAGTATTTGCTGTTCATCTTTAAAGAAAAATTGATATTAAACTCCAGAAATGTTTAATTATATATTTGAACCTAATTTTAAATGACCAGATATACAGTTGAAATACCTATTACTCCATTGCCTAGTTTGCTTTCCATTACAAAGCTGGGGGCATCGACACAATGGAATACCACTCAGCCATAAAAAAAAAAGAAAATTTTACCCTTTGCAACAGCATGGATGGACCTAGAGAACATTATGCTAAGTGAAATAAGCCATCAGAGAAAGACAAATACCATATGATCTCACTCATATGTGGAATCTAATGAACAAACTGAACTATGAGGAAAATGGGGACAGACTCATAGGTGGAGAACAGGATGCCAACTAGTAGGGAGGGAAGGCTAGGGGGTGGAGGGATTGAGCAAACAGGAAAAAGAACTCATGGGCATGGACAACAGTGTGGTGATTGCTGGGGAGAGGGGATATAAGGGGACTAAATGGCAATGGAAAAAAAAACAATGAAACTTACATAAAATTTTTAAGTATATTTTTTAAAAAGTTTAGCCATTTGCTACTCAGCTCCTTAGCAAACAGATTTTTAATTTAAACAGCATCTTTACTTGGCTGTGTTCAGAGCCAGATTGCTGAGTGCTTTATAGCTTATACACAATAAGCAAAATAAAAAGTCAGAGTGATATAAATCTGTGTAAAAAAGTCCGTTCTAATCATGAAAATTAAAAACTTTGCGCATTAAAGAACCATACCAAGAGAGTGAGAAGACAACCCATAGGAGAAAATATTTGCAAATTATCTGATACATAAGGCATCAACATAAAGAATATATAAAGTTCTACAAATTAATTAAAAAATTAAAAGTGGGCAAAAGACTTAGACATGTCTCCAAAAGACATAATAACCAATAAGTGCATAAAAAATATCCAATAACACTAATCATCAGGGAAGTGCAAATCAAAACCACAATGAGATAACACTTCATGTCCATTAGGATCACTATATAGGGTAAAAAACAATGTAAGTGTTGATGAGTATGTGGAGAAATTGAAATCCATTTGTATTGTTGGTGGGAATGTAAATTAGTGTACTTACTATGGAAAATAGTATGGAGTTTCCTCAAAAAATTCAAAATAAAATTAAAATATTACCCAGCAATTCCACTTCTGGGTATGTACCCCAAACAACTGAAAGCAGGGAACTGAACAGATGTTTTGACATCAAGTTCACGGCAGCATTATTCACAATAGACAACAGGTGGAAGCAAGCCAAGTGTCCATCAACAAATAAATAAATACAATGCGGCATATACATATAAAAGAATGTATTCCCACTGTAAAAAGGAAATTCTGAAAAATGCTGTAATGTGAATGAACCTTGATGACATCATGCGAAGTGAAATAAGCCAGTCACAAATGGACAAACCCTGTACACTGCACCTCCGTGAGATGCCAAAACCCATAAAATTCACAGAGACTGAAAGTGGGCTGGGGAAAACGGGAGTGGGGGGTTACTGCTGAATGGGCGCAGAGTTTCAGTTCAGCCAGATGAGAGAAGTTCTGGAGAGACAGTGGTGATGTGAACGTACTTAATCTCACTAAACTGTATGCTTTAAAATGTTTAAAAGAGTAAATTTTATATGGTGTATATTTTACAATTTTTAAAAATTAAAATTAAAAAACAAGTCACAGAACGAAACCTCAAAATGAGGAAAAAAATTTACAAATCACCTGATAAGGTTCTAGAATCCTAAATATAAAAAGAAAACTCACAATGAGCAACAAAAAGATAAACAACCTACTTAAAAATGGGCAAAAAAACTGAACAGACATCTCTCCAAAGAAAATACACAACAGGCTAATAAGCACATAAAAAGATGCTTATCATTAGTCATTAGGGAAATCGAAATCTAAACCATAATGAAAAACCACTCCATATCCTCTAGGATGGCTGCAATAAAAAGAAAAGAAATGGAAAATAGCAAGTGGTGTTGGGAATGTGATTAAACTAGAACCCTCATACATGGCTGGTAAGAATGTGAAATGGGGCAACCACTGCAGGAAACAGTTTAACAATTCCTCAACGAGGTAAACATAGAATTGCTCATGGCCCAGCAATTCTACCTGTAGATATTAAAGCAATTAGGAATTAAAACATACTCAAACAAAAACATGTGTACAAATATTCACAGAAGCACTGTTCACATAACCAAAGGTGAACACAACTCAAATGCCAATCAGCAGGTGATGGATACACAAAATTTGGTATATACAATGAGGTCTGCCCAAAAGGTATTCAGCCATGTAATAGGAAAAATAGTGACATTTACTGAAGGAAATACAAGACACAAAAAACACTGTACATAGGACAATGACGCTTCTGTCCCCTTTCAAGTAGGCCCCTTGGAACCTCACACAGTTCTCCCAATTTCCATCAGCTGCCCTGTTGTATTTTCCTGAATCTCATCAAGTCTGAAATTTTTTCCCTTTCAAAGGTGATTTTAGTTTTGGGAAAAGCCAAAAGTCATAGGGCGCCAAATATGGGCTGTAGTGGGGCTGAGTCACCAGGTGATTTGATGTTTTGCCAAAAAACTCTGCACGAGACGTGATACATGAGTGGGCACATTGTGGTGATGAAGCTGCCAACCACCATTTGCCCATAACTGTGACCTTCTGAATCACCTGAGTAGTTTCTGCAGAGGAATGTTTAAGCTTAATGCAAAATTTGATGCCTAGTCATTGTTCTACTCATTCAGTCATTTTGAACATGCTGGCCACACAGTACACATGTTCACTGACCAGCATCTACCACCCCCACTGACTAGTACAGTGAAGTCATCATGGTTCACTCATGCACATTCCAGTCCACTGTCCTTGGCTGCTAGGTTTCATCGATGTCATGCAAACCTTTCTCATTATATTAACAATGGCTGGACTTTTTCCAGACAGACCTCGTATGCATACAATGGACTACTCAGCCATAAAAAGACTCAAGCACAGATGCATGCTACAACATGGATGGAAACTCAAAAACACTGCACTAAATGAAAAAACCAGGCATAACATCCCAGATATTGTATGATTCCACTTACATGAAATGGCAGAAAAGGAAAAGCCATAGGGATAAAAAGAAGATTAGTAGTTGCCAGGGGCTGGAGAAACAAAGGAATGAAGGGTGAATGCTTAATTAGTAGAGGGTTTTGTTAAGGATAACGAAGAAGTTCTGGAACTAAGATAGTTGGGACAGCTGCAGAACAATATGAATGTACTTAGTGCCACTAGAGTATATACTTTAAAATGACCGAAATGCTAAATTTTGTTATGTGTATTTTATCATAATTTTTAAAAATTATGTTCTGCATAAATAAAATACTATTCTGGATATATGAAAAAAGAAAAAAAAATGTTTAACTCTTCTGGAATGATTTTTCCAGTTTGTTTGGGAGCATAGTAGTGACTTCTTAAAACTGCTCCATATTCTTTAAGGCTATTTTCATACAACGTATCTAAAACTAGAATGTTTTTCCTAAAGGTGTTAACACTTTGCATATGCATGTACCAAATTAAGAGTTTGTTTGGTTATCAATTTCTTAAGTGCTTTAAAATCATGAAAGGCTATGGAGGGGGCTGTTGGAGGGAAGACATGTCTATGTTTACAAATACAAACTAGAAAAAATCCAATTTCCTACACAGTAAGGTAAGCAATTTTCTAACTACAGGCTTAGAAGTATGCATTTATTTCTATTCATTAAAAAGCTAAGAGGGAAATCACTTTAATAAAAATGTCAAAGTTTATACAAGCAATATTAGAATTATTCTACTTTGAACACTGATGTAAAAAACAACATAATAAACATTTTAGGAGCAGCTATTTCCCTACACAATTTTTATGTGGCTAACCTCCAAAATATTCCTGGTTATCTTTATGCATAGGCACTTAGTATGTCCTTTCTTTTCCATTTAATTTATAATTGAGGACAGATATAAAATTAAAAGCATTCTGAAACTGCCATCAAACAAGCAAGTAAAATTTGGATATTATTTCCACAAACAACCATACACACAAAGAACTCTTACCAGGACTTATAAATTCTACAGAAGTGAGACAAATGTAATCACAATAATTTAAATGCAAACCACATCACAAGCAGGTTTCTGTACAGAAAGATTAAAACTATGCCAGCCTTAGCTCTCTGCACTTCCAAAGGCCTTCTCATCCCATCAAACGACGATTTCCTCCAAAGATCCGTTCATTACATGAGGCTGAACTGACCCACAGGACATAGTTTCAGTGGAAACTCACTTTCCATTATAACTTTTAAAAATCTGGGGGCAGAAGGGGTGGGGTCTTCCTTTTCATAAAGAAAACCTGGTCCTCTTTTAAATCCCTGCTCTGCCAGAGGACTAATGTCGACTGCACCTAAGCTCATGTGCAGAGTCGTTATGCTGTACACTGGGTAAGAAGAAAGGAAACAGGTACTTAGAGGACTTCACACGCCATTCATAGTGGCGCTTGATCTTTGTGGAGCTTGACCTTTGTCAGGTATAAAGGCTGGCAAAAAAATGTTTTTATTCTAAGTTAATTTTCTATTTTAGATTGCTACGCTAACAGTTCAGGAAAGAAAATTATTAACAGGCTAGAAGTTGAAAGAAGTTTTAGAATAATGTTTTCATGAAAGAACAGATTAAATCAGTTTCAAATGGAAATGTTTAAGAGAACACATACATGTCTAATCACAAATGGAGGTTTATCTGTTTCTTTTTTGAATTCATAGGGTCCCAGATTTAAGTGCGCCAGCCGCCGCCTGGTGTCTTCAGATAGCTCACACATGCGTCTTTTTGTGTAGGGAGATGGAGAGTGTGACTTTGAAGATATCGTAGGCTGTTCGTAGTTTTTTGCATTTACACAATATTTATTTCTCTCAGGGGACTTGGATTTTTTCTTTTGTGATCTTGATGATCTGTTTTGCAGTCTGCCGTGTGATTTTTCAACTGGAGCCGTATGGTACATATACTTATCCTAAATATAAAAAATAAAAATTAACTTGGGTAGAAGATAGGTAAGTAGATGGATAGATAGATAGCCAGACAGACAGACAGATAGACATATAGAGACATACACTTTTAAAAAGCAATTAATGGCACATACAATTTAACCCAAGTAGATCAGGCTTTCCTATTTGTGTAGAGCCTTGGAGAAGTCAAACCCACAGTCTCTTAGATCTCAAAGTCTCTGTCTAGTATTTAATAAAGTATCCTGTATCAAACTTCCTTCTTAAGTCTAACAAACACTTTAGGAAAGTGAAAGCCTAATATTTAATTTTTTGAAAAACCTAAGAAACAAAGCCAGAAAAATTATTTTTCAGAATACTAAAAAATTAATGCTAACATTTGTTATTTATAAGTATTCAAATAATTGGATATATAATTTAAGAGGGCTTTGTTTAATGATGTTACACATATACATGTCTAATTGATTATGAAAACTTTATTAAGAAAACTATTAAAATAAGTCATTCATACTACTATGATTATAAACATACGTGCACAATGTGAAACTCTGAAGAAATTTATACATGTTTTCATGAAATATATTACCTGGATTATACAAAATGATTAGAATTTTAAGATCTCTTCCATGCTACAACTTTATAATTTAATGACAGAAAACTGTACCATCTTAATTCTGGTTCCATATTGTTATAAAACTAAAAATGTATAAAATATATGTCATAAACTTTAATGACTAGTATTCTAACTTCTAAAAATATGGTTAGCAGTCTAAAATTTTGAAAAACAAATGTGATATTTCTAAAATTTTTTTGCATTAGGATACAATTTTTTAAATTCCAACTTTATAATGCCTTAAAAGCTGAATTGTAAGTAAACAAGACCTCTTCACTCATTATGTAGAATCATGAGCTTTCCAATATTAGAGAAAATGGGCAGTTAAGAATCTTTGAACATCCTCCTAACATTAATCACTAAAAACTCACCAATCCTACCCCACTCTCTACTTTCTCAGTTCTCTTCCTTATTTGCCAAAGGTATCTATTCTCAAAAAAATAAAATAGAAATGTGAAATAAAAGGGAGAAGAGTCAAATTTTTTAAGAGGTAGAAAAACAGGAAAGAAAGTATTTTCCTAATTAGAAAAATAAGTCCATGAGTTTCATACAAACCAGCAGCATCCGATTATTTTATCATCTTTCTTTAGCTCTTGACATGCTCCTGGACCTCCTCCCGCCTTGTTCAATGGCTCCAACAAGTAATTCAGAATTTTTCTACCTTACCCCATTTCACCTCCCTCTATGACATCACACTGACCCACAAAGGCAGGAATGTTAGCACCTGAAGGGATCTTAAGGTTTAATAAAATGTTCAAGAAATGAATCTTCCCAAAACCTTGGACCGAGACTTTCTATTTTGTAGCTTTAATTAATTATCTTCTTGCACTTTGTCTTAGATTTCATCATTATGCAGATTCATTCCATCCCAAACTCTGAAAATCCTTTGCTCACCAAAACTTTCCCTCACCCTGCTTCCTCTAGTCTCACTGACTCTCTGACCTGCCCTCTCAGAGCCTCAGTCCCTGGGCCGCTCCCACAGACCTTCACACATCCTTCGTGTCTCTCACCACCAAAACCAGGAGAACCCGTAATCGCCCACTTCCGCAATGCTGTAAAGTTCCTACTTATCCCACCTCTGATCACACCAAACCTAAAGTAGTTAACCCCATCTTCTTTCTTCTCGTTTTTGAAGCTGAGTACTACTAGAGGAAGTTATAAACTGTGGCGTATCTACTCAGATACATGTTGTCTACCTCTACTCAATCCTTAATGCATCCTGTTACTGCCAACAAAACTCTGAGCAGATGCCGTTTTATACTGCTACTCCTTTGGCCAAAGGACAATAGCACACATGACACAAGCGGAGACTTGAAAAGTACTTGCTGTCTTATACTCCTGAGAAGCCTTCCTGCCTGGCACTATGTGACAGGGCCAAAATGAGCCAAATTCCCCCACTAGATGAGAGGTTGTGGCCGTTGCCCCAGCTGAAATCAAACCAATTACAAAAAATGTAAAGTCCTTCCCCAGACGAAAACAGCAGCCAACTGCAAGACCCGTGAAGGAGGCCATCCCAGATCACGCAGCCCTGGCCTAGCCAGTCCAGAGCAAAAGGCTCACCAGCCAATTCACAGAACTGTGAGAAACATTTTGTTTTAAGCCACTAAATCAATGTGGATTTTTACACAGCAAAAGCCACCTGATATGGCAGACTGACAAGCATATTAATAAAGCTACTATTGATATTCAATATTAAATTCTCCTTTGCATTCTAATTTGCAGGAGGTAAAAAAAATAAGTAGAAAACTAGTTTTATTCCAGAAAATCATAATAATATACTTGATTTTTTTCGGTCCATTCAGTTGGTGACAAAACATCAAATTATTAAAGTTCCAAAAGAAATAAAGATCATTATAGGTATTGTAAACTTAAATAATCAATAATTTTTCTGATTTTACTGACTTGTCTCTTAACAACAAAAATGGTTTGTCTTATTCTTATATTTGAATCTGAAAATGCTGCTTTTACAGCCATTAAAATTTTAATGGCAACTAATATTTACTTTTAAGTAGATTGATTGCATTCTCAAATAAGGTCAAATAAGATTAAAATTCTGGCTTTTAACATTCAGAATTTTAATGTAAATACATCTATGCTGTTGTGCCTATTTGGACATTTTTTTTATTTTATATTTCAACTATTGCCTCTGACCTCCCCTAATTATCGTAATTAAAATAACCTAGTAACAGCCACAAAATTCATTAACTAAATGTTATGTGCCAGGTACACTACCTATATTCTCTAATCTAATCCTTAAAGCAGCCTTATAACTAACTTGAACCCAAGTCTATCTGACTCCAAAGCACATTTTCTTAAACCCTGTCTGACACCAAAGCCTATTCTCTTACATCTCTGTTCAATAAAGAATGAGTGACAAACATTGAAACAGCAAGATAAAAAGAGTCTTCCCAAAAGTTTACAGAGGAAAATATTATTTCCTAAGTCCAATGAAACTACTAACGGGGAGCCAGTTTTACATTTAGAAAGGAGGACTCTCCCACCAAGCTGTGTACACTTAGAATGTGTGTACTTTTCTGTGTATACTGCTATACTCCAGACAAAAAGAGACTTCTCCATCCGCCCACCAGAAGGGCATATCCTAACATGGAGAGAAAAACTTTGTCAGAGTCCAGGTAAGACATCTGTAACAACTTACAATTACCAACAAGTGTGCAGTGTATATATCAAAAGTAAGTCAGAAATGTATCTGCATTTGGAAAGCACAGGTTGTTACGACTCTAATAGCTGTTCTTCAGCTTGCATTTAAAAAGAAGTAAATAACTATAGCCAAACTGTGATCTGTTAAATATCTTGCTAAATAAAATGATTCCTTTGATAATTTTATAAATCCATGTTACCTTTCTTAGCTTAAGTCACAGTTATCATCCTCAGCAAATTGAATCTAAAACTAGTGATGCCGTAAATTAACACTCCCCTCTCTCCATCATAGGTCCAGGCTTGCCCTCTTTGGGCCCTCTGGGCTTTATAATCTACTGGCTCTTCATCACAGACTGGTCATTGTTACCTGGTCATAATGCAACCACATATAAGTGATACATTAGTAGATAAGCTGTGGACAAGGTAGCAAGACAATCCTGGTGACTCAGTGAGAATTTAGACCAGAACGGAACATTAGACCCAGGTATCTCAGCTTACTAAAGGCAGTTTCCAAAAATATAGATGGCGCTTTGACTCAAGTGTCTAAGCTTTCCTTAATCCAACAATACCAGAGTGCTTGCCAAACTGAGCAACAGTCCCTTAAGGAATTAGAGACACAGAAGAAATCATAACTTGCTAAACACCAATGTCCCAGCCTGACAAACTTAGGCCATATTTGCTAAACAGGTATCCTTTGAACTTTCTGTAGTCACCTGTAATTTCTTGAAGATTTATAGAAGCCTCCCATCTGGTTTTTGTGGGATGTCTTGATCCCAACATATTTCTGACAGCCTGACTTCTCTACACTGAAGAAAGGCCCATCAAGTTCAACACACACTCAATGATGGCACCGCTGATCACATGTACCGAATTCTTCCCTCTCACATTTATCAAGATGGAACCAAGCTGCTAAAACCTATGGTAATTGCTTTACCTAAAGATTGACCAAAAAAGGTCAAAACAGCTGAAGCCAAATTTAAAAAAAATTATACTTGCTAAATGCCCAGAAATATGAATAGATAAACCATTAAATACTTTAAATGACTTTAACCTGAGTGCGGCACTTCCTTGAGCTTATCAGACATTCAGTAATCACTGAGGTTGTAGAAAATTCCAGCTTTGGAGCAATTCCCTGAGGGGGAGAAACAGGACATTATTAGACATTTCAATTTAAAAAAAAATATTTTAGTGCTGTAAATATGACCTAAAATAACAAAGCTGCTTCATTTGTCAGTTTGTACTTCTTATTAAAGATAGACAACATAATATGTAATGCTAAATGTCTGCTAGAAAGTTTCATGTTGATGATTCACTTATGAGTTATTATGTAACTTTTATGAAATACTTAATGTTTTTTATTTTCAAGTATTTTTCTGTCAAATTCTTTTAAGATTTTTTCAACTGTGATATAATATTAAAGTCATGAATACACAAAAATACATAATGGATTTCAGCTCTTTTTATTTTTACAACTAAAGACATATCTAACTACATATCAAGAAATATTTTGGATAGTGCCCTCATTTAAAAAAAAATCACAGCTCCTGATATGCAGTTGTTGAAAACAACTAGAGGTGGGAGACGTCTCTACCAATTCCTCCAATATTTTTTCCCATAATGTAGCTTACAGTCAGATCTATGAATAAATCTTGCTTCTATTTCTTACAACACTTCAATCATTGGCCTGAACACTGTTTTGAGATGAGTGAAGAAAACAAATGGTAAAATTCAAAGGAACAGTCACAAAGCATGGGAGAAGACATTTGGAAGCACCTAACTCATGCATTCACCAAAACATTAAAAGACAACGCCGGTTCTCAGGGCGGCTTCACTCTGGTATCGTGGAAGCCAAACATCGACAAACCCAGCCCGTGACCTACCACATTTAAAGTTTCAAGCATCTCACAAGTCACAGAAAACCAAATCTGACTTGCCTAAAAATGAACTGAACAATTGTTTTTCTTCAAACACATCTACTATTAATGATCTCCACTATGCCTCTTTGTTAGTTATCCATTGCTGATAACATATAAAACATCAGTAAATACTTACTGTCTCACATAGTTTCTATGGGGAAGGAATCTGGCAGATACTAAACTGAGTGTGGTTCTGGCTCAAATCTCTCAAGAGATTGCCATCAAGGCATCATTTGGGCTGCAGGCCTCTGAAGGCTTTACTGAGCCTGGAAGGTCTGGGTCTGCGTTTGCTTCTGGAGAAGGCTCATTCCCACAGCCTTGGTTGAAGCCCTCGGTACTTTTCCAACTTTCAGAGAGGACTCAGATCCTCATCAAACAGACCTCTCCACAGTGCTGCTCGAGTGTCCTCTTGACATGGCAGCTAGTTCTCCCAACAACAGTGATCCAGGAGCAAGGCAAGGAGGAAGCCACACTCCTTTTGTGATGTGGTCTCAAAACTGTAACACACTTCTGTCATATTCTATTCATTTGAGTCACACTAAGTGCAGCCCACAGATAAAGGAGTTAGGCTACCTTTTCAGGAGAGGAGTACAAAAAGTTTGTGGACATGTTTTAAAATCATGAGAGTCTACCCTCTGACCACAAACTACCTTTATTCTTCTCATGTGTAAACTACACTGAGGTCCTATGAGAGAGAGCATGAACCGGCCATGCCTCCTGGCTCCACAATCTGGGCTCTGCTTCCAACCTGTGAATTATCATTCCTCTGTAATGAGAGGTAGACTGTGTCTGGAGCCGCACATGTTCTGAGCTCTGGTCCTGTAAGCAGAATTCTGGGGGCCACAGGCCTTTTCATTTTTTTAAGTCTCTCTCCTTTTCAAACCAAGCTGGTGATGTTTCTACCAATGTAATGTTCTGAAGAACATTTTGGATCTTTCATGAAATGTGATTAGAGTTCATGCCTTTAGACAAAAGCCATAATCTTCTCTATCATGGGATTCTTCTGAGATTGCTGAGGGATAATACCCATAAGTATTTTTTAAAACCTATGACGGACTGAATTATTTTCTGGAGCAACATCTTGGGCCTTACTGAGATTTTAATGAAGAATTTTACAGTCGCACACTTGGTTTCCCCATCAGGCCACAGTTTCCTGAAAGTGCCCTGGAATGATTTTTGCTCAGAAGACTGGATTGCAATTTATCATATTGGCCATTGGGAAAAGCTAGGAATCTTCAGAAATAGTAAGTTCCAACTCCTTTATGTTTAACCGCCTTTCCTTTTGTTTCTCTCTCCCCTCTCATATTTTTCCATAAGCAGCAGGAAAAGGCTCTCTGAAAGTCTCCTTGTACAGGCTCCCATTTCATTAGGTGTTTTTCTACAGCCATGTTGCTTCAGGGGACTCTACTGCCAACCTTCCTGCCTTTACATCACCAGAATTCTTTTTTCTCCTAGTTCCCAATAACACCTGCCTCACTCTCCTGCAAACACGCATCAGAGTTTTTTCAAGGCTCTTCAATCTTGCACAAACACTCCAGCAAAACTGTTCAACTTCTGTCCTCTGCAGAACATTCAAAGTTGCTTGGATATCCTCATACATGGCAGGTGGCTACCCACAGAGCAAGTGATACAAAAGTGAATGCAAAGAGAAAGCCACAATGCATTTAATGACCCGGTCTAAAATCTAATACTGTCACTTCACCACACTATTTGTTAGCACCATGTCGTCCATAGAATTAGCTCTGCCTTTGGAAGAAAGAAGTGTCAAATCATTTATGGACATATTTTGTAACTGCCATAGCCTGGATTGCAATTTATCACTTTACCCCACTCCATATACTGCTGGTCACATAGTAAATAATGTTTTAGTCATTATTTGTATTGATCTTTCAAAACCCATATGTAACGATTTGGGTTCTCCAAAGAAACAGAACTAATAGAGTGTATGTGTCTGCATGAAGAGAGAGCGCGCGCTATATTTTAAGAAACTGTTTCTCACAGCTGTGAGAGTGGCAAGTCCAAACTCCATAGGGCAGGCTGGCAGACAGCAAACTCAGGCAAAAGTTGATACTGTGGTCCTGAGTGAAAAATCTGAAGCATCAGCACTCAGAGAACTCAGGCAGTGTTCCTGTGTTAATAGTCCAGACGCAGACTCCTTTATGCTGCAGGAAACCTCAGGTTTTGCTCTTTGGGCACTCAGTTAACTAGACAAGTTTTACCTATACTATCAAGGGTAACGATAAACCTAAACTTAAAGTCAACTGTTTGGAAATATTAATCACATCTACAAACATCCTCATAGCAATACCTAGACCAGTGCTTGACCAAACAACTGGGTGCCATAACCTAACCAAGTTGACATATAACATTAATCATGACACCATCTCAAATGTCAGTTACTCTATAAAGCCTACAATAAGAGGTAACTCATTCATCCAATTCAATCAAGAGACATTTAACTTCCCACTCCAGGCAAACTACTGTGCTAAGAGTTCATTTCAAAAATGAGAGTCACAGATTCTGTTTCTATGATGTTCACAGTCTAGAGGACATGCTATCACCACCTCCACCACCATCATTACCACTGTCCTGATCTCCACAGCCATCATCACATCACTATCTTTAATCCACCCTACAACCCTAGGATGACTCTGTGTTATAGTGCTTTGCCGAGCTTACTCAGGTAGTCTGTGACTGCCAGACTTTAATCCTAGATGTGATTTGAGTCCTGGCCACAGTGATGGGTTCAGGAGGATAGCCGTAGACAAGAATCAGATGTCTATGTAGAATCACAAGAATTCTGAGGAAAGGTGGGCCATATTATTTATCCCTAGGATTCTGACAACAATTTCAGCATGTAGGTTTTCCAATGTCACCAAGCAATTCTCTGTGACACCAGCTTGGTATCCTACAGTTTAACTCAGTTTTGACACTGTCTACCTGGCAACAGCATCAGATCCCACAGGTTAGTCCTACAGAACTGTCCCCTACCCACTTTAGATGCCAACTGCTAGTTTACTTTGTCACCTTTGCTTCTGACCAGTTGGCTATAAGTTGAAGGTTCCCGTGACCCCCTCCTCAGCCTCAATTAATTGGCCAGAGTAGCTCACAGAACTCAGGATAACAGTTTACTGTTTACCAAATTAAGGATGCAGAGAAACATCTAGATGAAAGGTATCTGCAGGGCAAAGTGTGGGGGAAGGGACACAGAACTTCCATGCCTTCTCTGGGCACATCGCTCTTCCAGCACCTCTCTCCACATGCTCACCAACCTGGAGGATCTCTGAACCCAGTCCTGTTGGATATTTATGGAAGCCTCACTACACAGGCATGACTGACTGTATCGTTGTCCATTGGTAACTGAACACAATCTCCAGCCCCTCTCCCCTTTCTAGAAGTCCAGGGTAGGGCCAAAAGTTCTAACCCTCTAATTGCAAGGTTGGTTTCCTTGGCAACCAATCTGTACCTGAAAGGGGATAAAAACCAAATGTATATGTATATTTATTATAAATCACAATATCATGGTCTCACTGCCCACACTTAATTCTGTCCCCTGCAGTAAAAAAGCTACTGATTTTTCTACCCAGCTACAGGTATGGTGAAGCCACAATTCTCACTGGCCATGCAGGGTGTGGGAGCAGTCCCAGGCAAGAAGGCCATATACTTCCATTTTTACTCAAAGCTTTAGCAGTTATTCAAACAAACACTCTTAATTTGTCTTAATTGCCTTAACTGCCAGTCAGCTTCCAGTGTCCTGAAACTGTTGTTTGTGACAATTTTGTCCAGTTTTATACTTATTTTGTGTGGAGAGAGGAATTGGCCAAACTCTCTCTCTATACCACCATTACCAGAAGTCCCATTCATACATATAAAATGCCTTAGCGCACTGGCTGCTATAGCTCAGTAGATTGAGCACGGGCCTGTGAACCAAAGGGTCGCCAGTTCAATTCCCAGTCAGGACACATGCCTGGGTTGTGAGCCAGGTCCCCAGTGGGGGGCCCGTGAGAGGTAACCACACATTGATGTCTCTGTCTCTCTCTCTCTCTCTCTTGCCTTCCCTTCCCCTCTCTCTAAAAATAAATAAAATCTTAAAAAATAAAATGCCTTAGCAATGTAATACCTTCTGAATGTACATCATATGTAAGAATAACTCAAATTAAATAAAGAAAGATAACTGTTAATGGTCCATACTGTTATGTTTGTATTTCCAATTTGGTATACTGTAGCATTTTAAATTACTTTTAAAAGACCATAATTTAAAATCAGACATGTTTTTCATTGCAAGTTTCTAGACAGTTGCTGAAACACTCTTTGAAGACTTTCATAGTATAGAAGGTGGCTAATGGATACTAAAAAGACCCCAAAGGAGATACATTTTCATAGATTTACTAGTTAGTCAACTTGTGTATTTCCAGCAAGCTGACTTTGTTAAGTCCTAGGCCAGAGCACACTGCAAGTTCAGACCTGCAGGTGAAATCACTTAGTTCAGCACACTGGCTCACGCCACCCCACTGTCTTTACTCAGGCTACTCTAGCACTTCACAAAGTTAGTACAAAATGTCCACTTTGTTTCAAGCTAGGTAAGTTTTGCTTTTTTCTTCTTTGGAACACCAGAGGCTTTTCTCAGTTTCTCTAAGTGGAAGACATTTTCAGGGATGAAAATATTTTGAAATCATCCAACAAAAGTGGAAGGAAGTTAGAAGACTTTGGGGGAGAGTCTGTGGTCACAATACAGCTTTCACTTTTAGGTGTATAAATACAGATTTCCTTTCCATGAGCACATCATAATCTAGCCAAATCCTACCAATGAACATTTCAGTTATTTCCATTTTTCACTGTTGTAAACCATGCAATAAATGAACATGCCTAAGAAGGCTCTTAGTGTACCAGTGAAAACCTGTCGCTGAGACACATTGAGACACACACCTAGAATGTCATAGGCTATGAGAATCTCTGCCTTTCCTAGATAATTCTTCATTGTGGCTGTTCCCAGCTTACATGGCACAGCAGCGTAAGAGAGTTTCCTTTTTTCACACTTTTGATATTGTCAAATTTATTAAATGTTACCATTTTTATGGCTGTCAAAATGAAATCATATGGTTGTTTTAATTGGGTTTTCTTAAATGTTACTGAGTTGAGCACCTTCCAAATGTTTATTGCTCATTCTTTGAGAAAAATATAGAAAAGAGAGAAGAGAGACACAGAGAAAGATAGGGTGGTGGAGAGGAGGGGTAGGGGAGATGAAGAAAGGAGAGAAATGTGAAGAACATAAGACAAAATAGCCTTTGTTAGTTTGGGGGTAGATACATGGGTTTTGTTTACTTATTTTCATTTACTTCAGTATGTTTAAAACAACACTACGACTTCAGAAACCCATTATAATTAACCCAAATTAAACTTGGAAATGGCCCCACACATTTCAGATACTGAGGGCTCCACGGTGGGCTACCAGTGACTCGGCATCACAAAGCAGTTCAGAGAACAGCAAGCACTTACTCGAAGGCCAGAAATCCTGCTCATGGTGACCTGGCGGTTGGAGTCGTGGTGCCCAGAGAGTTGGTTCGGACCCGGAAACATGAAATCGCGTGTGTTTTCATCATATGTAGACAGTGTTTCACCCACTACAAGAGAGATATCCTGTGATTCAAATTATAACAAAATATTCTATTTAGGAACCAAATCGTCAGGTACAATATACATAATGCCTGATGCCTTACTGAAATACCTGCTTCAGGGTCATGGTTTTTTCTATGAAAGGAAAATTAAAGTTATGTTAAATGGATTAACGTATTTCCTTATTCAAACATGTAGCACACTTTACTAATTATCATACCCCCTTTAGTAGAGGAATGAATATGCATCTAACTTTAGTGAGTAGTTGAGAGTTCCTTAAAAAAAAAGTCTTCATAAACGTATCAAGTTGCTATGACATGTACACATCTGAAATTTAATTACAGTCTCCACATATTTCTCTGTCTTCTATTCTTTTCTACCTGCCATTATACGCTGAAAAAAATATAAACATTTTCTGGAATTTGTGGTTATCTGAATTTGGTATATATTTAATGTTCAACATTTTTCAAATTACCAGTTTTCAATAAAATATAGCTCTCTTTTTCACATAAATAAGTACTTAAGATGGATTTCTTTTTAAATCATAGATATCAATACCAGAAATAAAACTATCCTCCATACTTTAACTCTACCTATTCTAGGGATTTGTAATGTTTGCTAAATAGGTAAGGTTTTATTTTCTTTCACTCCCAGTAACAGTCTACCCACAAAAACAAAGATAACTGACTACTTCAACAAAGCATATAATTTTAGAAAAATCACAAAAACCTAACAGTCAATTTTTATGAATGTCAGAAAATATACTAGAATGAAACCAGCTTAGTTTTTACTTTCATTTATTACTATTTCTTCAACGTTAGAACTGTGTGTTCAAATGCCACTTATGTCAACCTTCCTGTATATATTATTTTGATCTATTGACATTTTACACATAGTGGACCAATACTAGAAACTCAAAATTGTTCTTAACTTCAGAAGAAAAGAAAAAGATGAGATATTTAAACAGTATTTCACAGAAATGGGTTCACATGTCACTTACTTGACCGACACATAATACAGTACCTGGTGGAACTAGTTGAATCAACTCAAACAATGCTGTATCATCTGAAAGTTTAAAGAAAAATTTCCTTAAACAAATTAATAACAAACAAATGCTACTTACTTTACCATAGAAGTATCTGCAAATCGAAGTAACTACTGAATACACTACATATTATATATATTTATATCTTAGTATATATCATGTGTGTATGTATATATGTGTGTGTGTGTGCATCTATGTGTGTGTGTGTACATATATAATGTTTTTATGGCTTTACTGATCTATAGTAGAAATAAAACTTTCCACCTCTCGGAGGTTTTCTTTCTGATTTTTTTAAGACTACTCTTTTTTAGTGTAGTTTTAGGTTTACAACACAATTGACAGGGAGGTGCAGCGATTTCCTGTAATACCCCCTACTTATCCTCTGCCACCACACATGCGTAACCTCCCCTGTATCAACATCACCCACAGGAATGGTACGTTTTTTACTAAGGATGAACCTATATTGACATATCATAGTCACCCAAAGTCCATAGTTTGCCTTATGGTTTACTCTTGGTGCAATATATTCTGTGGGTTTGGACAAATGTATGATATATTTCCATCGTTATAATATTACACACAGTATTTTCACTATTTTGAAAATCCTCTGTTCTCTGATAGCTTTTAACAAGCTCATGAAGTTAGAAGAACAAAATCTGAAATATCATGACCTTGGAAAGAGATGGAAGGTGGTCTGTGTATAAGAGACAATGGCTGGATTGAATGGATAGACTATAAAACTGGATCTTAAAAAGATACACCAAAAGAATAAAGAGTCAACTAAAATAGGTAGCCAGTGCTATATACTGAATGTTTGTAGCCCCTAAAACTCATATGTTGAAATCCTAACCCCCAATGTAATATTTGGAATTCAGATCTTTGGGAGGTAATTAGGGCAAAGTCCTCATAATAAACAGAATCAGTGTCCTTATGAAAGATACTCTAAAAAGCCTACATGCCCCTCTGCTAAGTGAGAACACAGACAGAAGATGGATGAACAGAAAAGGCACCCAAACAGACACAGAAACTACTGATGCCTCGATCTGGGACTCTCCAGCCTCCAGAACTGAGAGAAACAAATTTCTATCATTTAATAAGCCTCTCAGCTTATGGTATTTGTTATAGCAGGCCAAACATACTAAGACAGCCAACTAGGAACTGAGGCCTAAATTTGAATTATACAAAATCCTGTCTAAATTAAGGTGATCCAGAATTGCTAGTGCTCCCTAGTAATCTGCTAAAACAATCATACATCTGATCTGAAGGAAAATATCCTCATTAACAGTATTGAATTATTTCTAAAATTTTTTATGTTCAATTAAAACTGACCAAGTAAATAGAAAAAAAATAATTATTGGTATTAAAAACTGAGAGAAATAACAGATAATAAAAGCAAACAAATAGGAGATTCAGGAAAAAAGTTATCAGACTAAGACTTAAAATATGCTTGACATGCTCAATAAAATAAAACATAATTTGCATTTTCTGATTAGTGACACTGAGAATCACCATCTGTGTGTCCTCTTTAGAAGTGTCTCTTCCGATCCTTTACATATTTTTAATTGAATTGCATTTTTTTTGGTGTTGAGTTTGGTAAGTTCTTATACATTTTGAATATTAATCTCTTATCAGATGTATTGGCAAATATGTTCTCCCTTTCAGTGGGCTTTTTATTTTGTTGATAGTTTCCTTTTGCATGCAAAAACCTCTGGAATACCACCTCACATTAGTCACAACAGCTATCATCAATAAACCAACAAACAAGTGCTGGTGAGGATGTGGAGAAAGGGCAACCCTTTTGCACTGCTGGTGGGAATGCAGATTGGCACAGCCACTATGGAAAACAATATGGAGATACCTCAAAAAATTAAGAATGGAACTGTCTTATGACCCAGTGATCCCACTTCTGGAAATTTATTGGAAGAAACCCAAAACACTAATTCAAAAGAATATAAGCACCACTATGTTCATTGCAGCATTATTTATAATCACCAAGATATGGAAGCAGCCCAAGTGTTCATTAGTAGATGAGTGGATAAAACAGCAATGGGACATTTACACAATGGAATACTATTTGGCCATAAAAAAGAAGAAAATTTATCATGCAATAGCATGGATGGACCTGAAGAATATTAGGCTAGGTGAAATAAGCCATTCAGAGAAAAACAAATACCATATGATTTCACTCATATGTGGATTCTAATGAACAAACTGAATGAACAAGCAAAATAGAAACAGACTCACAGATAGAGAGCAGGATGACAGCTGTTGGTGGGGGAGGTTAGAGAATGAAGAGAGGCAAAAAGGAAAAAGGACTCATGGACATGGACAACAGTGTGGTGACTACAAGGGAAGGGAGGTATAAGGGGGATAAATGGTAATGGAAAAAAATATAATAGTAAATAAACAAACAAATAAAACTTATTTAAAAAATAAAATGCAAGATTGAGAATGTTTAACAGAGAACTGGAAACAATTATAAACAACCAAATGGAAAAATTTTAACTTAAAAATAAAACATGATGGATAGATGTATCATCAAATTACAAATGACCCAAGAGAGATTTTTAGAATTAAAAGACAAATATATATATTTGAGAGAAGCACAGGAAGTTAAAAGGATAGTGAACATATAAAGGAGAAAAAAGGGATACAGTAAGAGGATCTAACACTATGTGACTGGATTTATAAAAGAAGGGCAGAAAAATACTCATTTGAACAAAGAGCCTGTATTTTAGTCATTTCTGAATCCCCCATCAGGGGTGTCCAAACTTTTGCCATCTCTGGGCCACCCAGAAGAAGAAGAGTTGTCTTTGGCCACACATTAAATACATTCTGATATGTAATTGAAAAAAGTTTCATCATGTTTTAAATAAATTTACGATTTTGTGTTGGGCTGCATTCATGGCCATGCTGGGCTGCGTGCAGCGTGCAGGCCATGGGTTGGACACCCCTGCCCTACATCATCTCATAGTGACAGAGTCTGCACAGGCGATGGAAGAGTTTTTAAAAAATGGCAAATCTTAATTCTAATCATAGGTCAGTGGAAAAGCAACTTTCTATCACCCCTTGAATCGCACAACATATTTCATGAGTACATCATGGCTGTTTCTCATCCCACTATCAATAAATGTAATAACAGAAAAGAACTGATGTTAAAGATGGCAGTGAAATAAGAAATAGGCTCTTAAAGGACAGCCCTTTTAAAAAATATCTGACCACAAAATAAAATTTCATTAGAAATCAAACAAATTAAGCAAACAGGATTAAGTTCAGTGTCATAATTTTCTATACATACTAACACTGTATTTTTCCTGAGGTCACTTATTCTGCAACCTCAACTATTTGAAAGACATGCTTACAAACAAACTAGAAAATACACTAAATAATATGGATCACCAGTACGATAATATTAATTACTATTTTGGAGAATATTTTCTGTGTGTCAGGACTGAACTCCTATAAGTTTCACACAAATCCTCAAAACCACTCTAGCAAGTGATTATCTCCATTTCACAAATTAAAAAAACAAGGTTATGGTTAGTAAAGATAATAACTTCCTGAGCTGAGATTTGAGCTCAGCTGTTAACTAGCTGTTTTCAAGGCCTGCACTGGTTTCATTAACAAGGCTGCTGGAACTAAAACGTAGTGATTTACAAAATAATCGCAAGGTGAAGAAGTTGTATTTTGAATGAGGAGTAGGATAAAGAAATAGAACAGTAGCTAGATGGAAGCAAAGATGAAGACCCAATACTTCTTTTTAAGATGGGAATGTACAGCATGTTTGTATGGAGTGGGTGTAACAAGAGAGAAATGGGAAAATACAGAGGAAAAAAATTAAAATATAATAACCAAGGCACTAGGAATGGCATGAGGAGATGGGTAACGGAAACCAGTATCCAAAATAACTCTGAGAAGAACAGAGAAACCATCCTCTAAGACCAGGCGAAAGAAGATAAGAATGAGAAGTGATGTAGGTGACTTTTGGGACAAGGGTACATATAGGAAACTTAGGTGGATCACTACTGGGGCCTCAATGTTTGTCAGTGACATAGGAAATAGAGTCATCTGTTCATCTGAAGAATACTGGAGTTTAAACAAAGACATCTGATGGGAGAAATGAATACACTTAGAATATCTACATGACAAATCAGAGAGGAAGTTCTCTAAGAAGTAAAAGACTGGAAGGTAACACTGAGAAGCAAATGGTGGTGGCACCTGTCTGAAGTTCACGAGTCTACCGGCAACACCGAACATGAATGCTTGTGAAGTAGATGTCTGCCAGATAGATCAAAACTGTAACCTATTATTTAAAAAATAATAAGGTAAGACTGGAATTTGAAGGACTATGTCAATCAAATCTAGAAAAACAAAAGTGACATAGTATAACTCAGGAAAGAAGTAGAAAGAGAAGAAGTCATTTCAAAACTGTAACAAAACAAAATAAGCACAACAGCTAATGCCTTAAAAGAAATTTAACAAAAAATGGGATCTTTCTTAATCATGAAGAAACAAAATATTTAAATATGAGGGAAAATAACAAATACTAAACAGGCAAAAAAGATTCAACATACTACAATAGTAGAGCCTGATGAAGATAACTAAGGTAAAGGAAGAAAATAAATGGTAAATAGTATAGTTCAGGAAACTATGCAGAAATAAAAAAAATAGAACCTATAAATGAAAGATAACACATCATATCTAAGAATAACAAGCCATAAAAAAAAAAACTACTTTAGGACATAGTCTAATAAAATACTAAGACTTAAAAAATACTTTACATATCTAAGCAAAAAAAAAAAAAAGACTTATAAGTGAAACAACATTAAACTTTGAGAAAATGATTTAAATACCTGAGAGAGAATCAGGGTTAACCAAAAAATAAAAAGCTAAAACTATAAAAAAGTAAGCACAGGGAAAGAATTATTGATTCAAGCAAAAAAACAAATTCTTGCAGGAAAGTAATCATAGTATGTATACCACATGGTTCAGCTATAAATACTTTTAATATGGTCATAAA